AAACAATGGAGGAAGAGACTGTCAGCCCTATATGACATGTATGACACAACAAAACAATGGAGGAATAGACTGTCAGCCCTATATGACATGTATGACACAACAAAACAAAACAATGGAGGTCAGCCCTATATGACATGTATGACACAAGACTGTCATGACATGTAGACACAACGAACAATGGAGGAATAGTGACAGCCCTATATGACATGTATGACAACAACAAAACAATGGAGGAAGAGACTGTCAGACACAACCAATGGAGGAATAGACTGACATATATGACATGTATGACACAACAAAACAATGGAGGAAGAGACTGTCAGCCCTATATGACATGTATGACACAACAAAACAATGGAGGAATAGAGGAAGAGACTGACAGTGACATGTAGAACAATAGAGGAATAGACTGACAGCCCTATATGACATGTATGACACAACAAAACAATGGACAATGAGAGGAAGAGACTAGACTCAGCCCTATATGACATGTATGACACAACAAAACAATGGAGGAATAGACTGTCAGCCCTATATGACATGTATGACACAACAAAAACTATGGAGGAAATAGAGGAAGAGACTGTCAGCCCTATATGACATGTATGACACAACAAAGCAATGAAGCCCTATATGACCATGTATGACATATGGAGGAATAGACTTTCAGCCCCATATGACATGTATGACACAACAAAACAATGGAGGAATAGGAGGAATAGCCCACAACAAAACAATATATGACAGCCCTATATGACATGTATGACACAACAGAACACTAGAGGAATAGACTGACAGCCCTATATATGACATGTAGAGACTGACACAACAAAACACATGGAGGAATAGACTGTCAGCCCTATATGACATGTATGACACACAACAAACAATAGAGGAATAGACTGTCAGCCCTATATGACATGTATGACACAACAAAACAATGGAGGAATAGACTGACAGCCCTATATGACATGTATGACACAACAAAACAATAGAGGAATAGACAGACAGCCCTATATGACATGTATGACACAACAAAACAATGGAGGAATAGACTGTCAGCCCTATATGACATGTATGACACAACAGGACAATGGAGGAATAGACTGACAGCCCTATATGACATGTATGACACAACAGAACACTAGAGGAATAGACTGACAGCCCTATATGACATGTATGACACAACAAAACAATAGAGGAATAGACAGTCAGCCCTATATGACATGTATGACACAACAAAACAATGGAGGAATAGACTGACAGCCCTATATGACATGTATGACACAACAAAACAATAGAGGAATAGACAGACAGCCCTATATGACATGTATGACACAACAAAACAATGGATGAATAGACTGACAGCCCTATATGACATGTATGACACAACAAAACAATGGAGGAATAGACTGTCAGCCCTATATGACATGTATGACACAACAGAACAATAGAGGAATAGACTGACAGCCCTATATGACATGTATGACACAACAAAACAATGGAGGAATAGACTGTCAGCCCTATATGACATGTATGACACAACAAAACAATGGAGGAAGAGACTGTCAGCCCTATGTGACATGTATGACACAACAAAACAATGGAGGAATAGACTGACAGCCCTATATGACATGTATGACACAACAAAACAATGGAGGAATAGACTGTCAGCCCTATATGACATGTATGACACAACAAAACAATGGAGGAAGAGACTGTCAGCCCTATGTGACATGTATGACACAACAAAACAATGGAGGAATAGACTGACAGCCCTATATGACATGTATGACACAACAGAACAATGGAGGAATAGACTGACAGCCCTATATGACATGTATGACACAACAGAACAATGGAGGAAGAGACTGTCAGCCCTGTGTGACATGTATGACACAACAGAACAATGGAGGAATAGACTGTCAGCCCTATATGACATGTATGATACAACAAAACAATGGAGGAAGAGACTGTCAGCCCTATATGACATGTATGACACAACAGAACAATGGAGGAATAGACTGTCAGCCCTATATGACATGTATGACACAACAGAACAATGGAGGAAGAGACTGTCAGCCCTGTGTGACATGTATGACACAACAAAACAATGGAGGAATAGACTGTCAGCCCTATATGACATGTATGATACAACAAAACAATGGAGGAAGAGACTGTCAGCCCTATATGACATGTATGACACAACAGATTAATGGAGGAAGAGACTGTCAGCCCTGTGTGACATGTATGACACAACAAAACAATGGAGGAAGAGACTGTCAGCCCTGTGTGACATGCATGACACAACAAAACAATGGAGGAATAGACTGTCAGCCCTATATGACATGTATGACACAACAGAACAATGGAGGAATAGACTGTCAGCCCAATATGACATGTATGACACAACAAAACAATGGAGGAAGAGACTGTCAGCCCTATATGACATGTATGACACAACAAAACAATGGAGGAATAGACTGACAGCCCTATATGACATGTATGACACAACAAAACAATGGAGGAAGAGACTGTCAGCCCTATATGACATGTATGACACAACAAAACAATGGAGCAATAGACTGTCAGCCCTATATGACATGTATGACACAACATTACAATGGAGGAAGAGACTGTCAGCCCTATATGACATGTATGACACTACAAAACAATGGAGGAATAGACTGTCAGCCCAGTATGACATGTATGACACAACAGGACAATGGAGGAAGAGACTGTCAGCCCTGTGTGACACATAATGATGGTGGTTGTGATGAAGACCACATTACAAACAAGAGATCTAAACTATGTAGCTGCAACTATTTACCAGGAATGTTTTGTACCATTGTTTCATACATCTCACTGACTGGTTTTGCTGTCATGAATTACCACAACTTGTTACATCTCACTGACTGGTTTTGCTGTGATGCATCCCCACAACATGTTACATCTCACTGATTAGTTTTGCTGTCATGCATTGCCACAACTTGTTACATCTCACTGATTAGTTTTGCTGTCATTTATCGCCACAAATTGTTACATCTCACTGACTGGTTTTGCTGTCATGCATCGCAACAACTTATTACGTCTCAATGATTGGTTTTGCTGTCATGCATTGCCACAACTTGTTACATCTCACTGATTGGTTTTGCTGTCATGCATTGGCTTAACTTGTTACATCTCACTGATTGGTTTTGCTGTCATGCATTGCCACAATTTGTTACATCTCACTGATTAGTTATGCTGTCATGCATTGCCACAACTTGTTACATCTCACTGACTAGTTTTGCTGTCATGCATCGCCACAACTTGTTACATCTCACTGATTGGTTTTGCTGTCATGCATTGCCACAACTTGTTACATCTCACTGATTAGTTTTGCTGTCATGCATTGCCACAACTTGTTACATCTCACTGACTAGTTTTGCTGTCATGCATCGCCACAACTTGTTACATCTCACTGATTGGTTTTGCTGTCATGCATTGGCTTAACTTGTTACATCTCACTGATTGGTTTTGCTGTCATGCATTGCCACAACTTGTTACATTTCACTGATTGGTTTTGCTGTCATGCATCGCCACAACTTGTTACATCTCACTGATTGGTTTTGTTGCCGTGCATCGCCACAACTTCTTACATCTCACTGATTGGTTTTGCTGTCATGCATCACCACAACTTCTTACATCTCACTGATTGGTTTTGCTGTCATGCATCACCACAAATTGTTACATCTCACTGATTGGTTTTGCTGTCATGCATCGCCACAACTTGTTATATCTCACTGATTGGTTTTGCTGTCATGCATCGCCACAACTTGTTACATCTCAATGATTGGTTTTGCTGTCATGCATCGCCACAACTTGTTACATCTCACAGATTGTTTTTGTTGTCGTGCATCGCCACAACTTGTTACATCTCACTGATTAGTTTTGCTGTCATGCATCACCACAACTTGTTACATCTCACTGATTGGTTTTGCTGTCATGCATTGCCACAACTTGTTACATCTCACTGACTAGTTTTGCTGACATGCATCACCACAACTTGTTACATCTCACTGATTAGTTTTGCTGTCATGCATTGCCACAACTTGTTACGTCTCACTGATTGGTTTTGCTGTCATGCATTGCCACAACTTGTTACATCTCACTGACTGGTTTTGCTGTCATGCATCGCCACAACTTGTTACATCTCACTGATTAGTTTTGCTGTCATGCATCGCCACAAATTGTTACATCTCACTGATTGGTTTTGCTGTCATGCATCGCCACAACTTGTTACATCTCACTGACTAATTTTGCTGTCATGCATTGCCACAACTTGTTACATCTCACTGATTAGTTTTGCTGTCATGCATCGCCACAACTTGTTACGTCTCACTTATTAGTTTTGCTGTCATGCATCACTACAACTTGTTACATCTCACTGATTAGTTTTGCTGTCATGCATGGCCACAACTTGCCATCTCTATCATGTATCAGGTCTAGTTTTGCTGTCATGCATCACCACAACTTGCCATCTCTATCATGTATCAGGTCTAGTTTTGCTGTCATGCATGGCCACAACTTGCCATCTCTATCATGTATCAGGTCTAGTTTTGCTGTCATGCATGGCCACAACTTGCCATCTCTATCATGTATCAGGTCTAGTTTTGTCGCCTCTCTGTGTTCCTTGTTTCATGTCTGCTTTTGTCTGTCCAGAAATCTTTCCATTTGTCAGGGATGCTTCAGATGTTTCTTCTCTCAGAGTCACTGCCAGTGATGCTACCAGATCTGTCTGTGAGATCTGTGATCAACTGCTTCAAGTGTAAAACCTCTTCCACATCACTTAGATTGTTTATATGTCTATGTTTGATCAGAGATTTCTATGCCATACACTTACTGCCAGTGATTTCTATGCCATACACTTACTGCCAGTGATTTCTATGCCATACACTTACTGCCAGTGATTTTCCTCCCCTACAGTATTGCCAGTGTGGCTTGTCTGTGCAAGGATCATGATTGTAGCCTGCATCTGTGCCCTGGCCGCCATTGTTCTGTGCATCGTCTTTTTGACCAGGGAACCAGAGCTAAAGGCTGGTGTCTACAGGTTGCCAGGTAACAACATGAGTGGATGATTACTGGATGTATTTTGTATTCATCACACAACATGAATTAATGATTAATGGATGTATTCTATATCTGTCACACAACATGAGTGAATGATTAATGGAAGCATTCTATGTCTGTCAAACAACATGAGTGAATGATTAATGGATGTGTTCTTTATCTGTCACACAACATGAATGGATGATAAATGGATGTTGTAATCTGTCACACAAATGAGTGGATTATTAATTTATGTTCTCTGTCACCAAAAAGAGTGTACGATTAATATATGTTTTATATCTTTCACACAACATGAGTGGATGAATAATGGATGTATTCTATATCTTTCACACAACATGAGTGGATGAATAATGGATGTATTCTATATCTTTCACACAACATGAGTGGATGAATAATGGATGTATTCTATATCTTTCACACAACATGAGTGGATGAATAATGGATGTATTCTATATCTTTCACACAACATGAGTGGATGAATAATGGATGTATTCTATATCTTTCACACAACATGAGTGGATGAATAATGGATGTATTCTATATCTTTCACACAACATGAGTGGATGAATAATGGATGTATTCTATATCTTTCACACAACATGAGTGGATGAATAATGGATGTATTCTATATCTTTCACTCAACATGAGTGGATGAATAATGGATGTATTCTATATCTTTCACACAACATGAGTGGATGAATAATGGATGTATTCTATATCTTTCACACAACATGAGTGGATGAATAATGGATGTATTCTATATCTTTCACACAACATGAGTGGATGAATAATGGATGTATTCTATATCTTTCACACAACATGAGTGGATGAATAATGGATGTATTCTATATCTTTCACACAACATGAGTGGATGAATAATGGATGTATTCTATATCTTTCACACAACATGAGTGGATGAATAATGGATGTATTCTATATCTTTCACTCAACATGAGTGGATGAATAATGGATGTATTCTATATCTTTCACACAACATAAGTGGATGAATAATGGATGTATTCTATATCTTTCACACAACATGAGTGGATGAATAATGGATGTATTCTATATCTTTCACACAACATGAGTGGATGAATAATGGATGTATTCTATATCTTTCACACAACATGAGTGGATGAATAATGGATGTATTCTATATCTTTCACACAACATGAGTGGATGAATAATGGATGTATTCTATATCTTTCACACAACATGAGTGGATGAATAATGGATGTATTCTATATCTTTCACACAACATGAGTGGATGAATAATGGATGTATTCTATATCTTTCACACACATGAGTGGATGAATAATGATGTCACACAACATGAGATGAATAATGGATGTATTCTATATCTTTCACACAACATGAGTGGATGAATAATGGATGTATTCTATATCTTTCACACAACATGAGTGGATGAATAATGGATGTATTCTATATCTTTCACACAACATGAGTGGATGAATAATGGATGTATTCTATATCTTTCACACAACATGAGTGGATGAATAATGGATGTATTCTATATCTTTCACACAACATGAGTGGATGAATAATGGATGTATTCTATATCTTTCACACAACATGAGTGGATGAATAATGGATGTATTCTATATCACACAACATGAGTGGATGAATAATGGATGTATTCTATATCTTTCACACAACATGAGTGGATGAATAATGGATCGTCTATTTCTGTCATTAAATTGATTGGATGATTATTGGATGTGTTCATTTTTTTTAAATACACAACATGAATGTTGAATTAAGAATCGACATCATAGCGCTCGGGATACTCCCATAGGCGCTCATTCCCCATCTTCAGCAGCAAATGAAGACTTCCAATTGTGATGGCATCAGTAAATGTCTGACTGTGTATCCATCTCACCTTTCCCTTGAGTGTTGAGCATCAGCCAGATCCCCTGGCAACTCCTCGCAGCGCTATTCTCTCCAGACCATAATGGTCTAATTGCACTTCCACACTGTTCACTTGCTCCCATAGGGCCCTCACAACATCTAGATTGTCATATATCAGTTCACCACCAATTGGTACAGAACGGGCCAATCTATCTGCCTGCTCATTTCCTAACACACCGGCATGACCTAGAGAAAATATCCATAGGATGCTATCTACCCTGGACCTCTGAAGTGATGCTTGTCACTCTGCATGAAGCCCACCTGTGTCCACCTTTCTCAGTATACTACGTGAGTCATTTACAATGATGGCATGTGTGTACTGCTGATTCTCAAGCCAGCAGAAGGCAGCAGTGACTGCCTCCACCTCCATTCTCAAACTAGACGTTGTGATATCATAGGCCAGGCTTTGTTGCACTAAGCGATGTCCATTCGCTTTTGCTATAAACCTCCATGCACTTTGTTTGCCCCTCAACACAAAGCCATCTGTATAGATAATCACATCACTTAGGCAGGGATTGTCATGAAACATTTGTTGAATTTCTGATTCTGCAACGCGAGCTGGCTAGTTCCTGCACTTATGACCGAAAGTGATAAGAACCCTTCACGTCTGAAACTTGCTCAGACACTTTGACCCCCTCCTTACCTCACGCAAATTTATCAAGCCTGCACACAAGTCTGATTGTGTCTTCAGCTTGAACAAGATTAGTGGATGATTAATGGATGTATTCTATATATGTCACACAAAGGATAATTATTGATAGATTAGTCTGTCATGCATGATTAGATATTTAATTACTGATGTTCTATCCATCACACAAGATTAGATAATTAGGGACATGTATCTTTCTGTCACACAAGATTAGATAATTTGGGACACATCTTCTTTCTGCACACAAGATTAGATCATTAGAGACAGGTATTCTATCTGTCACACAAGATTAGATAATAAGTGACAGGTATTCTATCTAGATAATTAATGACAGGTATTCTATCTGTCACACAAGATTAAATAATAAGTGACAGGCATTCTATCTGTCACACAAGATTAGATGATTAATGACTAGTAGCTGCTAATACCTGTCACAGCAAAAAAGTGTCCTTGGTTAAGGGGTTGTTAACACAGTTTCATAACTCCAACATATCAGTATTAAGTAACAAAGTGAAATTCAATGTTGCAACATTTTATGTCATTCTTACATACAACGTTGGTTGCTTTACCCAGGTCGATGGGGCTGGTTGAAGAGAATCATCTTCTGTGTTGTCTTTCACCTTCGCTCAGCCAAGAAGCACACACAGAAGACTGCTTCCAACAGGGAGGATGCCTCTCTGAGTAGTCGTCTGACAGGATACGGAAAGGGACATGCATACGATGAGATGGAACATCCTCAGCCACTTTCTGACAGTGTGTTTGTAAGTGAATTTTTTCACCTGACATATTGTGTTGTGTTTGTAAGTGAATTTGTTCACCTGACATATTGTGTTGTGTTTGTAAGTAAAGTTTTTCAATTGACATGTTGTGTTTGTAAGTGAATTTTTTCAATTGACATATTGTGTTGTGTTTGTAAGTGAATTTTTTCACCTGACATATTGTGTTGTGTTTGTAAGTGAATTTGTTCACCTGACATATTGTGTTGTGTTTGTAAGTGAATTTTTTTCAATTGACATATTGTGTTGTGTTTGTAAGTGAAATTTGTTCACCTGACATATTGTGTTGTGTTTGTAAGTGAATTTTTCAATTGACATATTGTGTTGTGTTTGTAAGTGAATTTTTTCACCTGACATATTGTGTTGTGTTTGTAAGTGAATTTTTTCAATTGACATATTGTGTTGTGTTTGTAAGTGAATTTGTTCACCTGACATATTGTGTTGTGTTTGTAAGTGAATTTGTTCACCTGACATATTGTGTTGTGTTTGTAAGTGAATTTTTTCAATTGACATATTGTGTTGTGTTTGTAAGTGAATTTGTTCACCTGACATATTGTGTTGTGTTTGTAAGTGAATTTGTTCACCTGACATATTGTGTTGTGTTTGTAAGTGAATTTTTTCAATTGACATATTGTGTTGTGTTTGTAAGTAAATTTTTTCAATTGACATATTGTGTTTGTAAGTGAATTTTTTCAATTGACATATTGTGTTGTGTTTGTAAGTGAATTTTTTCACCTGACATATTGTGTTGTGTTTGTAAGGGAATTTGTTCACCTGACATATTGTGTTGTGTTTGTAAGTGAATTTGTTCACCTGACATATTGTGTTGTGTTTGTAAGTGAATTTGTTCACCTGACATATTGTGTTGTGTTTGTAAGTGAATTTTTTCAATTGACATATTGTGTTGTGTTTGTAAGTGAATTTTTTCACCTGACATATTGTGTTGTGTTTGTAAGTGAATTTGTTCACCTGACATATTGTGTTGTGTTTGTAAGTGAATTTTTTCACCTGACATATTGTGTTGTGTTTGTAAGTGAATTTGTTCACCTGACATATTGTGTTGTGTTTGTAAGTACATTTTTTCAATTTACATATTGTGTTGTGTTTGTAAGTGAATTTTTTCAATTGACATATTGTGTTGTGTTTGTAAGTGAATTTGTTCACCTGACATATTGTGTTGTGTTTGTAAGTGAATTTGTTCACCTGACATATTGTGTTGTGTTTGTAAGTGAATTTTTTCATTTGTCATATTGTGTTGTGTTTGTGAGTGAATTTTTTTCAATTGACATATTGTGTTGTGTTTGTAAGTGAATTTTTTTCAATTGACATATTGTGTTGTGTTTGTAAGTGAATTTTTTTCAATTGACATATTGTGTAAACTGGTGACTAGAACTGGTTGTTTCTGCACTTCTAGACTAGTCTTGTTCTAGAGCTTGAGTTTTGCATGCATATCTGTGTTGCAGATCTGGCTTATTTATGTGCAGATTGTTGGTTCCTCACCTCTCAGATGATGCACACCAACTTTGAAGAAATGGGTTAATTATAAAGATAGCATTTCTGGAATCAGTTTATGACCCCTATGAGATTAGTTGAGCATGGTTACCGTCAAAGTGATGCTATCATTAGAGTGTTGATACTGCTGATTGTTTGCAAACTTTGCCGTGTTCTGAATGTGCCAGTCTGATTTTTGTGATCTGACTCTTTGTGACTGTTTGTCGTTCCCACTCCATTGCCAGGCATCGACTGGATTAGGTTTTGGTGCTTTGTAAACAGGATTCTCTGCAATATTCTGTGTCAGAATCACTTCTGCTTCATAAAGACTCTGAATCAGAAATCACAAATTTCCTGGAGGTGCCAGGAGTTGGCCAGTTCCAGCATAAACTCACCCAGATTTCCTGTGCATCGTCACCGATGCAAGAGCTTCAAGCGCTGGACTTGCCTGTCTTTGAACTTTCTAGAGCCCATGAGACGATGGAAGATAAGCTACAGTGGCAAGCTGAGGTCAGTGGCGTATTTGCATATCTGCACATAATGCGGGCGTACACAATATACTGCCTGGCATGTTCACTGTCTTATCCATCAGGTCTCTCTTGTTTCAGAGTTTTCATCAACATATATTGAAGCACAAAACATGAATTCTTTCCACTGAGATACACAGATCACATTCAGAGTTTTCATCAACATGTATTGAAGCACAAAACATCAATTCTTTCCACTGAGATACACAGATGACATTGTCTCTTGTTGCATTCTACATCTCACCAGTAAAGTCAAAGGTAACCATGTGATCACTACAGAAGTCTGAGGTTAATGATGTGATCCTTTTGTTTAGAGTTAATATATTTATGTGCCAGGCAATAAATTGGAAATTGTTATTTATGTCCTCATAACTGAAATCATCATAATGAGAATACATTGCTTCAGAGTTGTTTTGTGTGTCAGATTGAATGTAGAGACTTCAGTTTCCTCAATCATTTCTTTGTCTTCTTCCTTGGTCATCCTGTTGAGATGAGTGCTGTCCGTCTGCAGAGCAACTGTGATATTTGACTCTTTTGACAGATGTATCTTTCTAGAGCGAGTTTTGAAGGACAAAAGGGTCTAGTGTTCCTTAACAAGCATGCCATAAAAGGCCACTAATAAAAGTTTGCTAAAAATGGGCAGGTTGGGTTGAAAAATGCTGATGTTGTAGCACACTGTAAACCATAAAAATGAGCCAATTACATATGAAGAAGAAGGAGGAGGAGGAGAAAAAGAATCAGTTTATTACCCCTATGACATTAGTTGAGCATGGTTACCATCAAAGTGATGCTATCATTAGAGTGTTGATACTGCTGATGTGTTGCAAAACTTTGCCCTCATGCCAGTCTGTTGTGAGTTCCTATGACATGCATTTGTGTACTCCTTGGCCAGGCAATTGACTCTGTGTATTTTGGTGCAGTAAACAAGGATGGATGCAATATTGTGTGTCGTTTACACATATCAGACATAAAAAAACAAATGGTGTGGAGAATATCTCATATCCTGGAGGTGCCAGGAGTTGCCAAGTTTTTCAGCAGAAAACGTCACCCAGACAATGTTTGTGAGTGTAACCGATGAACAAGTTTTTTCAGCGCTGGAATTTGGTTTTTGAAATTCTGGAGAAAGACGATGGAAGATAAGCTACAGGCAACACTTATAAGTATGCACAGCATTATAAAGCAAAATTTGCATAGTTTTTGTTCCATGCAATTTTAATAACACTACAATATACGTTGCATGTGTTTCACAGTGTCCCAAACAGTCAGGTTTCTCTTGTTTTTGATTTCACATAGAAAAATCTGTTGCATCGTCTCTTGTTTCAGAGTTTTCATTAACATTCCATCGACTCAGATTGAACAGTTTCTAGGAAGCGACTGACATTTCTAAATGAGTCAGAGTTTGAGGAAACAGGGTTCAGGTCTGTTGCCAATCAGAGTTTTGTCAGTTTTGTCCAAGGTCTGTTGTTTCAATTTTACGCACTTCTCATTTTTGACTCATGTTCACGGTTTGGGACATTTCACTCCATGTTTCTCCAACTTCACATTACTTGTCTTGATCCATGATCAAATTTGATGTTTGGCAGTAAATCGCTTTGATGGGCGTGCAGACGATGACTGATCAGGACATATTGTTTTCAGACAATTGTTTGGTAACGTAGTACACCACACAAATATCGATTAACAGCGTTAAAACACTCACCAGAAAACGAATGCACTCCACAACAGTACACTACACACTTGAGAACCGGAAAGAAGTTTAAATTGAGCGGTCCACGTGTAATTACCGATACAGTGGTAACCATCAACCGTGACGCATGCGCTGTTTGGGCTGCCAAGTAGTAAAAAATGAGCGCGTGATGCGTTCCTTGGGACTCAAAGAGTTAATGGCTCTCAAATTGGGCACGCAGGTCCGTCTTACATTTAGCCCCTCCAAACACCCATCTTTCACACAGCAGAAGAAGAAAGCAAAGAAGAATTAATAGAACAACAATAACAACAAGAGTAAGAAGAAGATGAAGAAGAAGAAGCAGAGGCAGTGGAAGAGAAACAAAAAAGAAAAAGAATCTTTTGACCGATACATCTGACTTCAGTGACCCAGTATTTGGACCACGGTTACTAAGTCTCATCCTTCAACATTATTGGTCAAGGTCATTATATAAGCCCATGGTAAGGACAGAAGTCTAGTATTATCCACATGATCACCATGGAAGACCACGGATAACCCCATGGTCACCACACCTCTGATGTTATCCACATGATCACCATGGAAGACCACGGATAACCCCATGGTCACCACACCTCTGATGTTATTCACATGATCACCATGGAAGACTAAAGATAACCCCATGGTCACTACACCTCTGATGTTATCCACATGATCACCATAGAAGACCACGGATAACCCCATGGTCACCAAACCTCTGATGTTATCCACATGATCACCATAGAAGACCACGGATAACCCCATGGTCACCACACCTCTGATGTTTTCACATGATCATCATGGAAGACCATGGATAACCCCATGGTCCACGCCTCTCAGAGTTTTCACATGATCACCATGGAAGACTACGGATAACCCCATGGTCACCAAACCTCTGATGTTATCCACATGATCACCATAGAAGACCAGGGATAACCCCATGGTCACCAAACCTCTGATGTTATCCACATGATCACCATAGAAGACCACGGATAACCCCATGGTCACCATACCTCTGATGTTATCCACATGATCACCATGAAAGACCACGGATAACCCCATGGTCACCACACCTCTGATGTTATTCACATGATCATCATTGGAGACTAAAGATAACCGCAGTGTCTAAGCATCTGATAAATTGTGAAGCAAAACCTATTTCTGTCAGCCTGTTAGACAGACTGAATGCTTGCAGCCTTGTAGGTCACACACATTTGTTGTAGCTAACAGAATTTGTGTGCATGTCAGAATTAACTGTTGCACCCATGGCACATATTGGATTTAGACAAGATGGCTGTCTTGAAAAATGGAACTTAAGCCCTACAGAAAAAGGGATCGGTTACCAAATCATCATCATCATCATGGCATGCTGCTTATGCATCAGACATGACTTGCAGTCCATTCATCCATTCCATTCTATTGTGTGCAGTCTTTTCATCTACTCCATTCTATTTTTGCAGTCTATTGCTCCACTCTATTCTACTATGTGCAGTGTATTCCTCCAGTCAATTCTATTGTGTGCACTCTATTCCTGCAGTCCATTCTATTGTGTGCACTCTGGTTCTCCAGTCCACTATATTGTGTGCACTCTATTCCTCCAGTCCATTCTATTGTGTGCACTCTATCCCTCCAGTCCATTCAATTGTGTGCACTCTATTCCTCCAGTCCATTTTATTGTGTGCACTCTATTCATCCAGTCCATTCTATTGTGTGCACTCTATTCCTCCAGTCCATTTTATTGTGTGCACTCTATTCCTCCAGTCCATTTTATTGTGTGCACTCTATTCCCCCAGTCCATTCTATTGTGTGCAATCTGGTCCTCCAGTCCATTCTATTGTGTGCACTCTATTCCTCCAGTCCATTCTATTGTGTGCACTCTATTCCTCCAGTCCATTCCATTGTATGCACTTTATTCTATTAGTCCATTCTATTATTTGCACTCTATTACTCCAGTCCATTTTATTGTGTGCACTCTATTACTCCAGTCCATTTTATTGTGTGCACTCTATTCCTCCAGTCCATTCTATTGTGTGCACTCTTTTCGTCCAGTCCATTCTATTGTGTGCACTCTATTCCTCCAGTCCATTCTATTGTTTACACTCTATTCCTCCAGTCCATTCTATTGTTTGCTCTCTATTCCTCCAGTCCATTCTATTGTGTGCACTCTGGTCCTCCACTTCATTCTATTGTGTGCACTCTATTCCTCCAGTCCATTCAATTGTCTGCACTCTATTCCTCCAGTCCATTTTATTGTGTGCACTCTATTCATCCAGTCCATTATATTGTGTGCACTCTATTCCTCCAGTCCATTCTATTGTGTGCACTCTATTCCTCCAGTCCATTCTATTGTGTGCACTCTATTCCTCCAGTCCATTCTATTGTGTGCACTCTGGTCCTCCAGTCCATTCTATTGTGTGCACTCTATTACTCCAGTCCATTCAATTGTCTGCACTCTATTCCTCCAGTCCATTCTATTGTGTGCACTCTATTCCTCCACTTTATTCTTTTATGTGATGTATTCTATTGTGTGCACTCTTTTCCTCCAGTCCATTCTATTGTGTGCACTCTATTCCTCCAGTCAATTCTATTGTTTACACTCTATTCCTCCAGTCCATTCTATTGTTTTCCTCATATCAGTCCATGGAAGACTCTATTCCTCCAGTCCATTCTATTGTGTGTACTCTATTCCTCCACTTCATTCTTTTATCACATGTATTCTCATGGAAATTTTACGGTGTGCACCCCATTTTCTACCACACTATTGTGTGCAGTATCCTCCACTCCATTCTATCACCATGTCTATTCCTCCACTCCATTCTACAGTCTATAGTCTGTTTGATATCATGGGTAGAATCCAGTCCAGCATCTTTGGTTTCTTTCAACAACTTTCATCTCAGGTTTCTCTTGGATAATTTCATTTTTCCATTTCAGTACCTGTTTGATAGTTCTCTGTCCCATTCCAGTGCCTGTTTGATGGTTCTCTGTCCCATTCCAGTGCCTGTTTGATGGTTCTCTGTCCCATTCCAGTGTCTGTTTGATAGTTCTCTGTCCCATTCTAGTGCCTGTTTGATGGTTCTCTGTCCCATTCTAGTGTCTGTTTGATAGTTCTTGTCCCATTCTAGTGCCTGTTTGATGGTTCTCTGTCCCATTCTAGTGTCTGTTTAATGATTCTCTGTCCCATTCTAGTGTCTGTTTGATTGTCCCATTCCAGTGCCTGTTTGATGGTTCTCTGTCCCATTCTAGTGTCTGTTTGATGGTTCTCTGTCCCATTCTAGTGTCTGTTTGATAGTTCTCTGTCCCATTCTAGTGTCTGTTTGATGGTTCTCTGTCCCATTCCAGTGTCTGTTTGATGGTTCTCTGTCCCATTCTAGTGTCTGTTTGATAGTTCTCTGTCCCATTCTAGTGTCTGTTTGATGGTTCTCTGTCCCATTCCAGTGTCTGTTTGATAGTTCTCTGTCCCATTCCAGTGCCTGTTTGATGGTTCTCTGTCCCATTCTAGTGTCTGTTTGATAGTTCTCTGTCCCATTCCAGTGCCTGTTTGATGGTTCTCTGTCCCATTCTAGTTCTGTTTGATGGTTCTCTGTCCCATTCCAGTGTCTGTTTGATAGTTCTCTGTCCCATTCCAGTGTCTGTTTGATGGTTCTCTGTCCCATTCCAGTGTCTGTTTGATATTTCTTTGTCCCATTCCAGTGTCTCTTTGATAGTTCTCTGTCCCATTCCAGTGTCTGTTTGATAGTTCTCTGTCCCATTCCAGTGCCTGTTTGATAGTTCTCTGTCCCATTCCAGTGTTTGTTTGATAGTTCTCTGTCCCATTCCAGTGTTTGTTTGATAGTTCTCTGTCCCATTCTAGTGCCTGTTTAATGGTTCTGTCCCATTCTAGTGCCTGTTTGATAGTTCTCTGTCCCATTCCAGTGTCTGTTTAATGGTTCTCTGTCCCATTCTAGTGCCTGTTTGATAGTTCTCTGTCCCATTCCAGTGCCTGTTTGTTGGCCCTCTGTCTGTTTCTCCTCAGGAGAAATCTGTCAGCAGAGCACTGATACACAAAGTGAAATGTTTGAAATGCGAACCAGGCAATTGATATACAGTTGTGAAATGTTTAAAATCTGAACCAGACAATTGATATACAGGTGCGAAATGTTTGAAATCTGAACCAGACAATTGATATACAGTTGTGAATTGTTTGAAATCTGAACCAGACAATTGATATACAGGTGCGAAATGTTTGAAATCTGAACTAGACAATTAGAATACAGTTGTGAAATGTTTGAAATCTGAACCAGACAATTAGAATACAGTTGTGAAATGTTTGAAATCTGAACCAGACAAATAGAATACAGTTGTGAAATGTTTGAAATCTGAACCAGACAAATAGAATACAGTTGTGAAATGTTTGAAATCTGAACCAGACAAATAGAATACAGTTGTGAAATGTTTGAAATCTGAACCAGACAAATAGAATACAGTTGTGAAATGTTTGAAATCTGAACCAGACAAATAGAATACAGTTGTGAAATGTTTGAAATCTGAACCAGACAAATAGAATACAGTTGTGAAATGTTTGAAATCTGAACCAGACAAATAGAATACAGTTGTGAAATGTTTGAAATTGGACTTAATTCTTGTTCTAGGGCAGGTATGTGCAATAAAATCGTGGACAAGCCTCAGGAATTTGTTGAAGCAAACTTCTCCTTCACGTATGTTGTTGTTGTTGTTGCTGTTAATTTTACTGCTGTTGTTGTTGTTGTTGTCATTGTTTTTTTTTTTTTTTTGCTGCTGTTAATTTTACTGCTGCTACTTGTTGTTGTTGTTGTTGTTGATTTGTTCATTATCAACAATGACAGTTTTTCATTCTGATTGCTTGCACTGTCAGATCTGACCAACTGTCCCTGGTGCTCTCGAGTAATGAGATACAAAGTATGCCAGGAATATCCCTGGTGCTCTCAGTAATGAGATACAAAGTATGCTAGGAATATCCCTGGTGCTCTCAGTGATACAAAGTATGCTGGTGCACTCTCAGTAATGAGATACAAAGTACCTAGGAATATCCTGGTGCTCTCGGTAATGAGATACAAAGTATGCCAGGAATATCCTTGGTGGATAATGCAAAGTATGCCTCTGGTGTCAGTAATGAGATACAAAGTATGCTAGGAATATCCCTGGTGCTCTCAGTAATGAGATACAAAGTATGCCAGGAATATCCCTGGTGCTCTCAGTAATGAGATAAAAAGTATGCCAGGAATATCCCTGGTGCTCTCAGTAATGAGATACAAAGAATGCTAGGAATATCCTTGGTGCTCTCAGTAATGAGATACAAAGTATGCTAGGAATATCCCTGGTGCTCTCAGTAATGAGATACAAAGTATGCTAGGAATATCCCTGGTGCTCTCAGTAATGAGATACAAAGTATGCTAGGAATATCCTTGGTGCTCTCAGTAATGAGATACAAAGTATGCCAGGAATATCCCTGGTGCTCTCAGTAATGAGATACAAAGTATGCCAGGAATATCAGTCAGTAATGAGATACAAAGTATGCCAGGAATATCCATTGGTGCTCTCAGTAATGAGATACAAAGTATGCCAGGAATATCGCTGCCAGGAATATCGCTGGTGCTCTCAGTAATGAGATACAAAGTATGCCAGGAATATCCCTGGTGCTCTCAGTAATGAGATACAAAGTATGCCAGGAATATCCCTGGTGCTCTCAGTAATGAGATACAAAGTATACCAGGAATATCGCTGGGGCTCTCGGTAATGAGATACAAAGTATGCCAGGAATATCGCTGGTGCTCTCAGTAATGAGATACAAAGTATGCCAGGAATATCCCTGGTGCTCTCAGTAATGAGATACAAAGTATGCCAGGAATATCCCTGGTGCTCTCGGTAATGAGATACAAAGTATGCCAGGAATATCCTTGGTGCTCTCAGTAATGAGATACAAAGTATGCTAGGAATATCGCTGGTGCTCTCAGTAATGAGATACAAAGTATGCTAGGAATATCGCTGGTGCTCTCAGTAATGAGATACAAAGTATGCCAGGAATATCCCTGGTGCTCTCAGTAATGAGATACAAAGTATACCAGGAATATCCCTGGTGCTCTCAGTAATGAGATACAAAGTATGCTCAGGAATATCGCTGGTGCTCTCAGTAATGAGATACAAAGTATACTAGGAATATCCCTGGTGCTCTCAGTAATGAGATACAAAGTATGCCAGGAATATCGCTGGTGCTCTCAGTAATGAGATACAAAGTATGCCAGGAATATTCCTGGTGCTCTCGGTAATGAGATACAAAGTATGCCAGGAATATCCCTGGTGCTCTCGGTAATGAGATACAAAGTAAGTATGCTCTCAGTAATGGATATGCTAGGAATATCCTTGGTGCTCTCTGTAATGAGATACAAAGTATGCCAGGAATATCCCTGGTGCTCTCAGTAATGAGATACAAAGTATGCCAGGAATATCGCTGGTGCTCTCAGTAATGAGATACAAAGTATGCCAGGAATATCGCTGGTGCTCTCAGTAATGAGATACAAAGTATGCCAGGAATATCCCTGGTGCTCTCAGTAATGAGATACAAAGTATGCCAGGAATATCGCTGGTGCTCTCAGTAATGAGATACAAAGTATGCCAGGAATATCGCTGGTGCTCTCAGTAATGAGATACAAAGTATGCCAGGAATATCGCTGGTGCTCTCAGTAATGAGATACAAAGTATGCCAGGAATATCCCTGGTGCTCCAGATACAAAGTATGCCAGGAATATCCCTGGTGCTCTCGGTAATGAGATACAAAGTTTGCCAGGAATATCGCTGGTGCTCTCAGTAATGAGATACAAAGTATGCTAGGAATATCCCTAGTGCTCTCAGTAATGAGATACAAAGTATGCCAGTAATATCCCTGGTGCTCTCAGTAATGAGATACAAAGTATGCCAGGAATATCGCTGGTGCTCTCAGTAATGAGATACAAAGTATGCTAAAAATATCGCTGGTGCTCTCAGTAATGAGATACAAAGTATGCTAGGAATATTGCTGGTGCTCTCGGTAATGAGATACAAAGTATGCTAGGAATATCGCTGGTGCTCTCAGTAATGAGATACAAAGTATGCCAGGAATATCGCCTAGCCAGCAGGGCAGCAGATCAACAAACATGCAATATGCTGATATTCTTCTTCTTTTGTCAAAATCAGCTTGTGCCGCTAGGCGTCGCCGTCTATCAGATGATCGGCAACTGAGCCAGGGCGCGCTCAGTCGCTTCATATGCCGTGTTGTTATGAAGTCTCCAGTTGTCCGTGACTCCTTCAATCCATCTTCTTCTTGGTCTTCCCCTGCCTCTTGGTGTTTCGATTTTCATGTTGTATACTCTTGATGCTGGCATCGTTGGTTCCATTCTCATTAGGTGACCAAACCATTTCATTCTTTGCTTCTCAATCAATTTAACGATGGGTATGGTTCCAATAGTTCTTGTAAACACATCGTTTCTCACTCGATCTCTTCTGGTTTTATTTGCAGCCATTCTCAAACATCTCATTTCACAGGTGGTTAGTCTTCTCTCGAGTTCTTTTGTTAATGTCCAAGTCTGACATTGGTAACCTAATGTCGGAATAAAGATTGTATTTATAATTTGTCTTTTTATCTCAGCTGGGACAGCAAGGTGTTTTAAATAGGGGCAAGCTGGTATGCGACATTGTTGGCTTGTTGGATTTTTGCTTCGATCTCTCTGTCTATTTTACCATTCAATGTAAAGATACTTCCCAAGTATTTAAATTCTTGCACTTGTTTTAGGCTGTGATCTAGAATCTTTATGTCGATGGTCTGTTGCTCTCTACTTATGCTCATGACTTCTGTCTTTTCAGTATTGATCTTCATATGATGCTTGAGGCAACTGTCATGTAGTAGGTTTATGTGGTCTTGCAGCTGTTTACTATCACTGTGAAATATGCATTGATCGTCGGCAAAGAGCAGCTCATTGAAGTCCTTCTGTTTATCGACATCTGTTGGTGTTATGTCTATTTTATTAATATTGTCCATAAATATTATGAAAAGTAAAGGTGATAATACACAACCTTGTCTTACTCCTGATGTTACTGGGAACCAGTCTGTGATGCCAGCTCTTGTTCTAATGGCGCTTTCACTTTGTCTATAAATAGCCCTAACACAATCTAAAATTGTTCCATCGAAAGCTTTTTCTTGATCTATGAAAGCGATGTTCATTTGATGTTTGTGTTCTATTGTCTTTTCGCTAACTTGTCTTAAAGCAAAAATAGCGTCAGTACACCTTCTTCCTTTCCTAAATCTGACCTGTGATGGGCTCAGGATCGGTTCTACAACGGATCTAATTCGTTGTTCCAGAATTTTGGCAACACTTTTTTCCTACTGTAATTGTTACAATCTTGCTTTTTGCTTTTTCTTTTCCAAATTGGGACTATAAGGGCTCTTTGCCAGTCTATTGGTACAGTAATATGCTGATGATATCAGATTTATCGCTAAATGTGAAATACAGTTACAAGAAAGGATGCACGCACTTGTGACAAACTGAAAACAAAGCTCTCAGTTTCAAAAAATTAAAACATAAGTAGTAATAATTCATCATCATGTGCCATGCCAGGTAACCGTAATCTGTCATGTTTCATCATCTCAAACGATCATCAGAATCAGGTCAGTGTCCTTGTCCCTTGTCCCACTATCTCTTTGCCTTACTCTTGCTTTCTTTCCATCAGTCTTGCTAGTCATTACCATGTTCTCAATGCCATTCTTTCTAATAACATGTGGAACAACATCGATTGTCTTATTCTAATGGTTCCAGATTTATTAGGTCCCTGATAACAGCAGGCGGGAGATGAATTCCAGAAATTAGGTCCCCTGATAACAGCAGACGGGAGATGTATTCCAGAAGTTATTAGGTCTCTGATAACAGCAGACGGGAGATGTATTCCAGAAGTTATTAGGTCCCCTGATAACAGCAGACGGGAGATGTATTCCAGAAGTTATTAGGTCCCCTGATAACAGCAGACGGGAGATGTATTCCAGAAGTTATTGGGTCCTCTGATAACAGCAGACGGGAGATGTATTCCAGAAGTTATTAGGTCTGATAACAGCAGACGGGAGATGTATTCCAGAAGTTATTAGGTCTCTGATAACAGCAGACAGGAGATGTATTCCAGAAGTTATTATTTCCTCTGATAACAGCAGACAGGAGATGTATTCTAGAAGTTATTAGGTCCCCTGATAACAGCAGACGGGAGATGTATTCTAGAAGTTATTAGGTCCTCTGATAACAGCTGACGGGAGATGTATTCCAGAAGTTATTAGGTCCCCTGATAACAGCAGACGGGAGATGTATTCCAGAAGTTATTAGGTCCCCTGATAACAGCAGACTGGAGATGTATTCCAGAAGTTATTAGGTCTCTGATAACAGCAGACAGGAGATGTATTCCGGAAATCATTAGGTCCCCTGATAACAGCAGACGGGAGATGTATTCTAGAAGTTATTAGGTCCTCTGATAACAGCAGACGGGAGATGTATTCTAGAAGTTATTAGGTCCCCTGATAACAGCAGACTGGAGATGTATTCCAGAAATTATTGGGTCCCCTGATAACAGCAGACGGGAGATGTATTCCAGAAATTATTGGGACTGCAGTCCTGTTCCAGAACCTGAGTGTTGCGTGTGCATCCACTTGACAGATCTGACACATCTGTGTGCAGACTGTTGGTTTCTTGCCTTTCAGACAGATGCACTCCGACTTCAAAGAAAGACCCCAGTTAGTCGACTCTTATGACATGCTTTTGGGTAGGCAGTGGGTCTACTCTTGTTTTCCCCCGTCAACGGGGCCCCGGAACCCACACGGGGGACAGGATGGAGACACATGTGTGCCTGATAACCAGAATATGGCAGGGAAAATAAGAAGAAACCCCAGTTGTGAAATTCTCTTCTTAAATTCTGTTGTGAAATTCTCTTCTTAAATTCTGTTGTGAAATTCTCTTCTTAAATTCTGTTGTGAAATTCTGTTCCTAAATTCTGTTGTGAAATTCTGTTCTTAAATTCTGTTGTGAAATTCTGTTCCTAAATTCTGTTGTGAAATTCTGTTCTTAAATTCTGTTGTGAAATTCTCTTCTTAAATTCTGTTGTGAAATTCTGTTCTTAAATTCTGTTATGAAATTCTCTTCTTAAATTCTTTTGTGAAATTCTGTTCCTAAATTCTGTTGTGAAATTCTGTTCTTAAATTCTGTTGTGAAATTCTGTTCTTAAATTTTGTTGTGAAATTCTGTGTCTTTCCCATGTGGGTTCCAGGGCCCCATTGGCGAGGGGGGGGGGGGGGGGGGGGACAAGAACAAACCTTCTGCCTCTCCAATAAGGGTGTTCTAATAGTCGACTAAGTGGGAGCTTTCTTTGAAGTAGAGTGCATCTGCCTGAGACAAGGAACAGACAGTCTGCATGCAAATAAGTCAGATCTGTAGAATGAATGTGCAGGCAACACTCAGAATCTGTAACCAATTAGAGTCCACAAATGGATGAACAACCAAAAATTTCCCCTGGGGTTTATAACTGGTGAACGGGATGAAGCAGAAGACGAAATAAAAAGTAAACATTGTATTTATCCTGGTTGTTGTTTCCCCTTGCTGTGGTGTTCATGTACAGGTGGACTGCTTTCTCGCAACCTTTCAACTTTGACACAGACATGGCCGGCACACTTCTTGGAGACAGTATAGCAAGAGAACAATGGGGCCAGGACTTCTTTCAGAGACTCAAAGAGTGAGTCTGTGTGTGGGAGAGAGTGTGAAAGAGTGTTTGAGAGGGAGAGAGAGTGTATGGCAAACATGAGTGTGAGAGAGTCATGTGAGAGAGCAAGTGTGTGTGTTTAAGAGAGAGAGGGAATGAGTCAGAGAAAAAGCGAGTGTGTAATGCATATTTGTCAAGATAGCCTGCTGCTTGTAAATCTCCCTTTGTGCTACTGTGTGTGTGTGTGTGTGTGTATTTTTGTGTGGATGGGTGAGGAGTGTGGAATGATGTCTGTGTGTTTGTGTATGAGAAAGAGAATGCATGCGTGTGTGTTCATGCGTGCATGAGTGCGTGCATGCATTTTCTGATAAGCAGTGTACATGAGAGAGGATGATGGGAGTTTCAATTGTATGTGTGGCCAGAGGTTGAAGATTGTTCAAAGGGAGACTACAATGAGAAATATTGACAGTACAGCAGAGAATCAATCATGGACTGAAATTGTTGTGTCCTCAGTAGTGATGTCCCTTATTTTCTTACCAAACTCCTACTGCAAGAGTCTAACTTATCTATGCTGGTGTCTGAAGTTTGGGCTGACTGGCTAAAACTATTTCACTGAATCAGGAGTAATGTCCCATTTGACAACATGAAATCTCCATCCCTATTACACAAAAAATTTAGAGACAAGGAAAAAAGGGAAACATCTATACAGCTTAGTTGCTGGTCAAACAAAACCACAGAGTGTGTGGCAGGCATGTGGGTTATCCTGAAGTGTAATCAGTGGCTGGTCAAACAAAACCACAGTGTGTGTGGCAGGCATGTGGGTTATCCTGAAGTGTAATCAGTGGCTGGTCAAATGAAATTACAGTGTGTGGCAGGCATTTGGGTTATCCTGAAGTGTAATCAGTGGCTGGTCAAACAAAACCACAGTGTGTGTGGCAGGCATGTGGGTTATCCTGAAGTGTAATCAGTGGCTGGTCAAACAAAACCACAGTGTGTGTGGCAGGCATGTGGGTTATCCTGAAGTGTAATCAGTGGCTGGTCAAACAAAATTACAGAGTGTGTGGCAGGCATGTGGGTTATCCTGAAGTGTAATCAGTGGCTGGTCAAGCAAAACCACAGTGTGTGTGGCAGGTATGTGGGTTATCCTGAAGTATAATCAATAGTTGGTCAAACAAAACCACAGTGTGTGTGGCAGGTATGTGGGTTATCCTGAAGTGTAATCTGTGGCTGGTCAAACAAAACCAGTTTATACAGTAATTACATTCATATCAAAGCTATACTGGAGCGAAAAATTGACAGCAAGGGAGCAAGGCAAAAAAAACAAAACACAAGTATTGTGATACAGTGAGAAGATAATATCTGAAAGAGAGTCGGATAATAGCTCTGACAACACATGTAATTGATGAAACATTTACAGCTATATAAGTTTTAAGACCGGAGCTCTGACAACACATGTAATTGATGAAACATATACTAAATAGAAGCAATATAAGTTTTAAGACCGGAGCTCTGACAACACATGTAATTGATGAAACATTTACTAGATAGAAGCAATATAAGTTTTAAGACTGGAGCTCTGACAACACATGTGTGATTGATGAAACATATACTAGATAGAAGCAATATAAGTTTTTAGACCAGAGCTCTGACAACACATGTGTGATTGATGAAACATATACTAGATAGAAGCAATATAAGGTTTTAGACAAGAGCTCAGACAACACATGTGTGATTGATGAAACATATACTAGACAGAAGCAATATAAGGTTTGAGACCAGAGCTCTGACAACACATGTGTGATTGATGAAACATATACTAGATAGAAGCAGCATAAGGTTTTAGACCACAGCTCAGACAACACTTATGTTAACTATGAAGTACTGGAGAGCCCCACTAGAAACCCCTTTTCCCAGACAATCTTGTATTGCTCCACCCCCACACCCCTTTTACACTTCAATTTTTCTGTTCTGCATTTACCCACTAGCCAGACTGTGTGAGGTGAGGGTATTTGGTGTTGCAGACACAATTTTATGTTTCCCGTCTGCAGCAACCATCAGACTCACTACGAGCAGTGGGGGGAGCTGAGGGGCAGACTGTGTCTAGGCAACCATGAAGAGTTGTTGTATCTGCAGTGTGTCAGAGATCATAGTTTTGGTAAGTCAGACTCCATCTGTCTTTTTTTGTGTTATTTTTTTTTAAATGTCACAGTGTAGATTGCTGGAGCCCTAGCTCTCTTTCAGGATATTACATGGCCAGGTAACCATGTTGTTCACTGTGTGATTGTTTTAGCACTTTCTAAAAACCATGGGAGCAGTCTTTTTCTCAACTGCCTGTGGCAGATATTGAATACTGCACTGGACCCACGGAAACATGGTTTATTGGCTTGATTTTATAAGGCCATCGCAACACAGTATACACACATTCAACACAGTCTACCCACACTTATCACTGTCTACACACAGTATACACACATTCAACACAGTCTACCTACACTCAACACAGTCTACCCACACTCAACACAGTCTTCCCACACTTATCACTGTCTACACACATTTAACAGTCTACACACACTCAACACAATCTACACACACTCATCACTGTTTACACACACTCAACTCAGTCTACCCACACTCAACACAGTCTGCACATGCTCTGTTGATCAGAAGCAGCCTGGCATGCGACACCAGAAAATCCAGTTTGAGAATGAAGGTGGAGGCAGTAACTGTAACCTTTCTCTGGCCTGTAAACAAGCTGTACACACATGTTGTAAATGTAACCTTTCCCTGGCCTGTGAACCAGCTGTACACTCATGTCATAACTGTAACTTTCCCTGGCCTGTGAACCAGTTGTACACACATGTTGTAAATGTAACCTTTCCCTGGCCTGTGAACCAGCTGTACACACATGTTGTAACTGTAACCTTTCTCTGGCCTGTGAACCAGCTGTACACACATGTCATAACTGTAACTTTCCCTGGCCTGTGAACCAGCTGTACACACATGTTATAACTGTAACCTTTCTCTGGCCTGTGAACCAGCTGTACACTCATGTCATAACTGTATCTTTCCCTGGCCTGTGAACCAGATGTACACACATGTAATAACTGTAACTTTTCCTGGCTTGTGAACCAGCTGTACACACTTGTTATAACTGTAACTTTCCCTGGCCTGTGAACCAGCTGTACACACATGTCATAACTGTATCTTTCCCTGACCTGTGAACCAGCTGTACACTCATGTCATAACTATCTTACCCTGGCCTGTGAACCAGCTGTACACACATGTAATAACTGTAACTTTTCCTGGCCTGTGAACCAGCTGTACACACATGTTGTAAATGTAACTTTCCCTGGCCTGTGAACCAGCTGTACACACATATTGTAACTGTAACCTGCCCCTTCCCTGTGAACCAGCTGTACACACATGTTGTAACTGTATCTTTCAGTGGCCTGTGAACCAGCTGTACACACATGTTTTAATTGTAACCTTTCTCTGGCCTGTGAACCAGCTGTACACACATGTGATAACTGTAACTTTCCCTGGCCTGTGAACCAGCTGTACACACATGTCATAACTGTAACTTTCTCTGGCCTGTGAACCAGCTGTACACACATGTTGTAACTGTAACCTTTCTCTGGCCTGTGAACCAGCTGTACACACATGTGATAACTGTAACTTTCCCTGGCCTGTGAACCAGCTGTACACACATGTCATAACTGTAACTTTCTCTGGCCTGTGAACCAGCTGTACACACATGTTGTAACTGTAACCTTTCTCTGGCCTGTGAACCAGCTGTACACACATATTGTAACTGTAACCTTTCTCTGGCCTGTGAACCAGCTTTACACACATGTTGTAACTGTAACCTTTCTCTGGCCTGTGAACCAGCTGTACACACATGTTGTAACACACAAACTGTAACCACAAGACACACACATACCTGGCCTGTGAACCAGCTGTACACACATGTTGTAACTGTAACCTTTCCCTGGCCTGTGAACCAGCTGTACACACATGTTGTAACTGTAACCTTTCACTGGCCTGTGAAACTGCTGTACACACATGTTGTAACTACAACCTTTCGCTGGCCTGGGAACAAGCTGTACACACATATTGTATTACACACACACACAGACAAGACACACACATACATCCACACACACAGACAAGATACACAAGACACACACACACACACACACACACAGACAAGACACACACACAGATGAGACACACAGACCTACACAGAGAAGAGACACACAGACACACACACACACACAGATGAGACACACAGAAACACACACACAGATGAGACACACACAGACACACACACAGATGAGGCATACAGACAGACACACACACACACACACACCACACACACAGACAAGACACAGACACAGCTGCTATTGTTTGTGTGTGTCTAATTTTTATCCATTTCATCTACTTGGAGGTCTGTGTGTTACTTTCTGTGGACTGTTGTTTTGTTCAAACTATTTTCTGTTTATTTCGTTCTGCAGACTGTTGTTTATTCAGTCTGTTGTCTGTTGGTTTTTTTCTGTGCACTGTTATTCTGTCTATTGTCTGTCTGTTTCTTTCTGTGCAATATTGTTCTGTCTATTGTCTGTTTGTTTATTTCTGGGCACTGTTTTTTTTTTTAATCTGACTATTGTTGGTTTATTTATTTATTTCTGTGAACTGTTGTTTAATGTGGTTGCTAACTGTTTCTTTCTTTCTGTTCATTGTTGTTTGTTCTGTATATTGTTTGTTTCTTTTTGTGCACTGTTGTTCTGTCTATTGTCTGTCTATTTCTTTCTGTGTACTGTTTTTCTGTATTTTTCCTCTTTGTTTCTTTCAGTGTAGTGTTATTTGTTATGTCTATTGTCTCTTCATTTCTTTCTGTGTATGTTGTTTGTTCTGTTTATTGTCCGTCTGTTTTTGTGTACTGTTGTTTGTTCCATCTTCTGTCTGTTTTATTCTGTCTTCTGTCTGGTTACTTTATTGTCTTCTTTCTGTCTGTTTTTTTTTCTGTCTTCTGTCTGTCTATTTTATTCTGTGTATTTCTATGTTTTTGTCTGTGTGTGTGTGTCTGTATGTGTTTGTCTGTGTGTGTTTGTCTGTGTTGGTTTCAGTGTGTATTTGTCTTCATGTTTGTCTGTGTGTGTTTGTGACCTTTATATTGTGTAGTACATAAGAACTATATCTTTTGTATTACATACAACATATGTGAGCTGGTGCCCAATGTTCATATATCATACAACATGCTTTCTCATAGACTGGCATGTCCATACAAGTTGGGATAGTATGTCAGCCATGCTTGATGTCGCAGTAAGTAGGCAGTTTACTGTCTCATTCAGTAATAAGTGTGTTTACTGTCTCGTTAAGTAATAAGTGTTTTTACTCTTTCATTAAGTAAAATGTGTATTTACTGTTTCATTGAGTAAAAAGTGTGTTCACTGTCTCATTCGGTAATAAGTGTTTACTGACTCATTCAGTAATATTTGTATTTACTGTCTTATGAAGTCTTTCAGGCTTAACTAAGCCTGAGTTAACTAACAGCACATTGCAGTGTTTGAAGCTTTTAGCTGCCCTGAGAGAGTTAACTAACAGCACATTGCAGTGTTGGAAGCTTTTAGCTGCCCTGAGAGAGTTAACTAACAGTACATTGCAGTTTTGAAAGCTTTTAGGTGCCCTGAGAGAGTTAACTTACAGTACATTGCAGTGTTGGAAGCTTTTAGCTGCCTGAGAGAGTTAACTAACAGCACATTGCAGTGTTGGAAGCTTTTAGGTGCCCTGAGAGAGTTAACTAACAGTACATTGCAGTGTTGGAAGCTTTTAGGTGCCCTGAGAGAGTTAACTAACAGCACATTGCAGTGTTGGAAGCTTTTAGCTGCCCTGAGAGAGTTTACTAACAGCACATTGCAGTGTTGGAAGCTTTTAGCTGCCGTGAGAGAGTTAACTAACAGCACATTGCAGTGTTAGAAGCTTTAAGGTGTCTGAGAGAGTTAACTAACAGCACATTGCAGTGTTAGAAGCTTTAAGCTGCCCTGAGAGAGTTAACTAACAGCACATTGCAGTGTTGGAAGTTTTGAGGTGCCCAAGAGAGTTAACTAACAGCACATTGCAGTGTTGGAAGCTTTTAGGTGCCCTGAGAGAGTTAACTAACAGTACATTGCAGTGTTTGAAGCTTTTAGGTGCCTGAGAGAGTTAACTAACAGCACATTGCAGTGTTTGAAGCTTTTAGGTGCCCTGAGAGAGTTAACAGCACAATGCAGTGTTGGAAGCTTTAAGGTGCCCTGAGAGAGTTAACTAACAGGACATTGCAGTGTTGGAAGCTTTTAGGTGCCCTGAGAGAGTTAACTAACAGTACATTGCAGTGTTGGAAGCTTTTAGGTGCCTGAGAGAGTTAACTAACAGCACATTGCAGTGTTAGAAGCTTTTGGGTAACCCTTGGTAAGCTGTTATATTTCACAGTGCATATGCTCATTTCCTAGTGCTTAGATATCAAGTTATCCAGTTGGTTGTTCAACATTAGATTATGTTACAATGTAAATGCAACATTACAGTCTAGTGTATATACAACATTGAAATTTATCATAATTGTGCATGTAGCATTTAATACTATTCAACTGCCACATTTAAAATAAAAATCCTTTTCCATGCCTTTCAGACATATTGGGTACATAGGGCTAAACCGATATCTTATAGACCAAACGGCACTTGGTGGGTGATGTGGTCAGCATCACCCCGGCTGCCTTTACTTCCCAGGACTGTACCTGGTACCCACTCAAGGCTGGGTCGACCTGGAAGCCAAGGTAGTTTTTTGAAAAAAGTGCCACCCCATCTCTCCCCCCCCCCACCCCACCCCCTCCCCCCATAAGGAACAGAACCAACAACCGTCAAATCCACAGGCAAGTGTCTAGCCCCTAGACCACTGCTACTTCCTAGTTGCAATATCGGAATTGTGAACAAAATCATTCTCTTGTACCTGATTTAATGTGAGATTGCTAGAACATCTACCAAAAACCGTTTTGAAAACATTTAGTTTTGAGTGTTGTCATGTTTACTTGCTACTGTTTAGTTGACTCTTTTTTTTTTCAGTGTAAAAATTGGTTATGTTTCATATGCTAACGGAGACATTGTGTCAGTGTCAGACGTGAACTTGAAGCTCTGGGAGGTCGCAGAAAACTGTCATGAGCCACCGACATCTTGGTCTTTCTCATTCATAGCAGGTGAATTTGTGTGGACCACAAGTCCAGTATATCACTTCCACGTCACCGATACTGTTGTTCCCTTGACAGGACTTGACATATATGTTTGCTTTTTTTTCACTGATAAAGACTGTGGACTAAATGGTCTCTTGTTTTCTGTGTGTATTTCCTTTCAGCAAACTTTTTTGCTTGCTATTTTGTGTTCAGACAATAACCAGATATGAAGCTGACCTTCAGTTGAGGAAAGAGGCAGCTGAAGGAGGGAGCACGCCATCCTAGCCTCTATAACCATGTTGTGACATTCTGTACACTTGCACATACTTGTAGCAGTTTCTACTGTCAATTTACTTGTTTTCATCTATATATATATAAATCAATGTTTGTGTGTTTGTTTATGAGCTATAGACTCGGAAACTACTGAACCGATTTAGCTGAAATTTTCAGGATATGTTTGTTTTGACACCAGATGTCCACCCATCATGGTTTGAAATTCAACCTGTCATTGTTAGAGATAGTTTGTGACAATTTAAGCAAAAATATTCGAAACTAATATTTAAATTTTTAGTGACATCTAATTATAGCCACATTACTTAATGCGCATGTGCGATCGATTTACCCTGCATGCGCAGTAGTGGCGCTCCCTCGTCAACATCCGCCCGCGACATTAAAAGGAAAACCACCATCGGTTTTTAGTTGTGTTATCTAGAAATATCTAAAAAGGTAAGAGCATTTATTTCAGTAACATTAATCAGTATGTACATGTTTTTTGTTTACTTCAAACAAGTGTGGACCACTTCTTAAATCCCGCAATGATAAATATATACACATTATCATTAATCATTATCTGTTATCTTTCTCATACTCATACTCAAGGGTACAACAGTTTTGGTTGGCTTTCTTCTGTTATTCAAAAGAATTATATAAATTTACATGACATTCCGTCTCAGATCAGTGTAGATTCTAGAAATATCTCAACAGGTGAGTGCATTTATTTCAGTGACATCAGTCAGTATGTACATTTTCTTGTTAACTTCAAACAAGTGTGGACAACTTCTTAAATCCCGCAATGAATGATAAATGTATACACATTATCATTAATCATTATCTGTTATCTTTCTCATACTCATACTCATGAGTACAACAGTTTTGGTTGGCTTTCTTCTGTTAATCAAAAGATTTATTTAAATTTACATGACATTCCGTCTCAGGTCAGTGTTAGAATCTAGAAATATCTCAACAGGTGAGCACATTTATTTCAGTGACATCAGTCAGTATGTACATTTTTTTGTTAACTTCAAACAAGTGTGGACCACTTCTTAAATCCCGCAATGAATGATAAATGTATACACATTATCATTAATCATTATCTGTTATCTTTCTCATACTCATACTCATGAGTACAACAGTTTTGGTTGGCTTTCTTCTGTTAATCAAAAGATTTATTTAAATTTACATGACATTCCGTCTCAGGTCAGTGTTAGAATCTAGAAATATCTCAACAGGTGAGCGCATTTATTTCAGTGACATCAGTCAGTGTGTACATTTTTTAAACTTCAAATACTTGTGTGGGCCACTCCTTAAATCCCACAATGATGAATGTGTCTCCATCAGACGAGCAACGAGAAGCAAGATTGGAAACCAATAGAGTACGCACTGCTCAAGTCCATTTATCAGACACAGTCGAGCAACGGAAAGCAAGACTGGACACCGTTTGAATGCGCACTACTTTATCCAGGCGAACACTGCATGTTGATTTGAATCTTGGTGCATTCCATTACAACAGCAGTTATGATTACAGTCTTCATCCGCAGGTGCTTATTGGCAAAATGGATAAATTGTGCGTACATTGCAGTGCCTTCAAATTTAAGAATGACACGCCGGGTATGTGCTGCGCTGGTGGAAAAGTTAAATTGCCAGTATTACATTCACCACCCGAACCATTATCATCATTGGTAGCAGGTAACACAGGCCAGTCGACACATTTCTTGGCAAACATAAGTACATTTGCAAATATGTCAACAAAGGAGGCGATATGGCAGTCTTTGGAGTGGGACATGCAGCTGCATCTATCGATGAAATCAAGCAATATCAGCTGGGCGCTACATTAGTATCAATGAAGCGGTGTGGCGCATTTTGTCATTTCCAATTCATGAACGACATCCAGCAGTTGTTCATTTGGCAGTGCACCTTGACAATTGACAGCGCATGTACTTCACTACAGAAAATGCACATGCACGAGCATTGTTACCACCGCCAACCACGTTAACTGATTTTTCTCATTGTGTAGAGATGATATGTTTGCAAAAACACTACTTTACTCTGACCTGCCAACATACTACACGTGGAATGCATCAGCTAAAAAGTTTCAATGTTGCAAGCAAGGTCAAGCGGTTGACGGACATCCTAATTTATCTTCTACTTATGTTTTAGGCCGTCTGTACACTGTTCATCCCAGAAATGCAGAGTGCTTTTACTTGCGATTACTTTTAATCAACAAATGGGGACCGACATCCTTCCAGGACTTGAGAACAGTTTATGGTAAAGTATGTGCTACTTACCGTGAAGGTTGCCAAGAATTAAATCTTCTTGAAAATGATGCACATTGGGACACTTCACTCGCTGATGCACTGGCAATCGCATCAAATGTATTCTGGATTTGCTGCAACTCTAATTTTGGATGGTGGCCAAACAGCGCATTCACACACACTGAATTGAAGTTTGTTCAAACAAATCTTCCAAACTTTGTTCAATATGCATATCACTGAAGTTACACCAACATGCAATATCAACAATGATTCTGCATTTTGGGTAAAGTACTGGCAAAGTATGTCAACTCATTATATGGGACAAAGTTTTCCCTAATATCATATCACAATGAGAATTACAAAGTAAATCATCAGTGGCTCAGTGACACGTGCTATCTCAGTAGCAGCTAGCAAAGACAAGGATGTGTATGCCATGAATCCGAACATCTAAGACAAATTACCAGGCGGAGTGACAATGTATATGTCTATCGATACTGTAATGATTCAAGATGAGGTTGTCAATTATCCAACTGAGTTCTTTAATTGGCTTGATTTGCCAGGCATGCCACCCCATGTTTTTACCTTGAAAGTTGGCGTGCCTGTTATTCTTCTCAGAAACATCAATCCGCCACATCTTTGCAGTGGTACCAGGCTTTCAGTGAAAAAGATGGTGCCCAATATCATCGTAAGTACAATTTTACATGAACATTTAAGGGCCAGGATATACTATTGCAACACAATTCCAACAGACATGCCATTCAACTTCAGATGCTTGCAGTTTTCGGTGCGACTCGCCTTTGCAATGACTATCAACAAATCACAGGGACAATCAGAACAATTGTGTGGACTACATTTGGAACATCCATGCTTTTCACATGGACAGCCATATGTGGCTTGTTCACGCATCGGAAAACCTACTGATTTATTCGTGTACGCACCAGGCGGAAAAACTAAGAACAATTACAATGACATTTTAAATTGCCTGTTTTTTCCTAAGGATTTGTAAACAGCACAATGATCCAATATAAATACTACATATTGTTACATCGACTTTCCTTTCAATTGAATTTCTATTAGAGGTGTAGTAACACGCGCTGGGTACAGTTTACCATAGCAATCATTTCGTAATTATTGTGTATTTTTCCTGTTTTAATTGCTTTTCACTTGGGTAATTTTTCTGACTACTTCGATGTACGAAGCAAGATTTCTATTTTCTTTCTTTTCAATTTAGCTAAACTATGCCACAGCAACACGTGGCCGGGTACAGCTAGTTTTATTTAAAAAAATATTCGGACATGCTTTTATTCAAGAGAATCTCTGTGCCTGGATTATTCACTTCTTGTTTGCTTAAGTCCACTGCCCGATATCCTTAACATCATGCTTGGGCAAAGTTGCAGAAAGAATGATAAACAGGCGCTTGTATTGGTTCCTTGAGAGTTCTGGTGTTCTATGCCATCAACAGGCAGGCTTCAGAACCAACAGCTGTACAGAAGACCAGCTGTTCAGACTGACACAAAGAATACATGATGGCTTCCAGAATAAGAAACACACAGTGACAGTCTTTGTCGACCTCCAGCAGGCCTATGACAGAGTATGGAGAAAAGGTCTGATGAAGATGATGAGCATAGGAATACATGCCAGATTGTATAACTGGGTGAAATACTTTCTGATAGATAGAACAATCCAGACTAAGATGCACAACGCAATCTCTTCTAAAGAAGTCTTGGAGGAGGGCTTGCCACAAGGCTCATCATTGAGCTGTACACTGTTCCTAATCTTTATCAATGACCTGCCAGAACAAATCAAGGCCGAAAAAGCCTTGTACGCTGATGACCTAGCAATATGGCAGAATCATGAAAATGTGGAAAGTGGAGCCCAAAGACTAAATGGAGACCTTAGAAGACTGCATGAGTACTGCCAAAGATGGAAACTCAAGGTTAACTGTGCAAAGACGGTCTACACAGTCTTTACCAAAAGCCATCAAGTAGCAAGGAAGAATATTAACCTGAGGTTAGACAAACACCAAGTGATGAAAGAAGAGCATCCTACATACCTTGGAGTCACACTTGACCGGCAGCTGAGCCTCAAGAACCATATTGAAAACGTCAGGAATAAGGCATTGAGGCGGATACAGTTATTAAAGAGACTTGCAGGTACATCATGGGGATCAAAAAAGGAAACGCGGAGGGGCTTATATCTAGGTTATGTTCGATCTGTGATAGAGTACAACAACTCACTGCTTACAACCTGCTCCAAAACTAACCTAGAGACTCTTGACAGAGTACAAAATAATGCCCTCCAATTAATTTGCGGAGCTATGCAGTCTACACCAACTGCTGCATGTGAAATCCATACAAATGTGGAACCCCTCGGGATGCGGAGAGAAAAAGCCACTTTAGAAATTTATAAAAGAAGCATTAGAAAGAATCGTAACCATCCTAATAGACATCTTGTAGAAAACTGGGAATACAAACAAAGAATAAAGCACAAATCGGTTTTACACAGTGTTAATGAAATTCAGGACAGATACCACCTCCCAGAAAGACGTCAAGGAATTCAGAATGTTGCAAGAAACCTACCACCACATGCTCGCTTTAAAGCTCCAGAAGTCCAAATTAAATTGGTAGGCGAGGAAACCAAACAGTCCGATCCAATCGCTCTTATGAACTCACAACTAAAGACCGTTGATTCTTACCCCCAAGAATGGATACATGTTTATACTGATGGATCTGCATTGAAAGCTACCATTAAGTCATGTTACGGAATCTACCTAGGTTATTCCGATGGATCTGTTGAAGAGATTTTTAATGCATGCGGGGAATTCTGTTCAAATTATGAAGCCGAAATAATTGCACTGGAAACAGCAGTATACCACCTAAAGACTGTAATGGATGTTTACTCTTTAAAGACCCAAAATATTATCTTCACAGATTCAATGTCTGCCCTTCAAGCTCTGGAGGGCAGTGAACGCTGCAGAACTGACATAGCCAAGATAATTCTGGATGCTGATCAGCTTATTACCTCATACAACCTCAGAATAGTGATGCAGTGGATTCCAGGCCACTCTGGCACACCAGTTAATGACAGAGCCAACAGATTGGCAAAGAAAGGAGCAACACAAGAACAACCACCTACAGCGACAACCCTCCAGACAGCAAAAACACTTATAAGAGCTATAAACAAAGAGACTTGGTTGAACAGATTGGCCATGGGAGACACTGAAAGAGAGGTTTTTAGACACATGGCTGGCCCTGATCCTAATGACAGCATTAACCATCTAACAAGAAGGGATCAGGCCACCATCTTCAGACTTAGAACGCAACAAATACTAAACCGAATACAGCCACAACACTCCCCAGAGTGCCAGCTATGCAACTACCCCTATAAAACTGTTGAACACCATCTCTTTTAGTGCCCAAAACTCAGCGAGACTAGAAGAAGGCTACTCCCTCCGAGATCAGACAAGTGGAACACCTTGTACGGAGGAAAAGAACAGTTTGTGAAAATTCCACTGCATGGCATTGGGCCAAAGGGTGAAAGCTCATGCGCCACTGGATCGATAACAACAAGTCTACACATTTATGATGTCTGTGTCTACACATTCAGGGTGTCTGTGTCTACACATTCCTGATGTCTGTGTCTACACATTCCTGATGTCTGTGTCTACACATTCCTGATGTCTGTGTCTACACATTCCTGATGTCTGTGTCTACACATTCCTGATGTCTGTGTCTACACATTCCTGATGTCTGTGTCTACACATTCGGGGTGTCTGTGTCTACACATTCCTGATGTCTGTGTCTACACATTCCTGATGTCTGTGTCTACACATTCAGGATGTCTGTGTCTACACATTCAGGATGTCTGTGTCTACACATTCCTGTCTGTGTCTACACATTCCTGTCTGTGTCTACACATTCCTGTCTGTGTCTACACATTCCTGATGTCTGTGTCTACACATTCCTGATGTCTGTGTCTACACATTCCTGTCTGTGTCTACACATTCAGGATGTCTGTGTCTACACATTCCTGATGTCTGTGTCTACACATTCCTGATGTCTGTGTCTACACATTCCTGATGTCTGTGTCTACACATTCCTGATGTCTGTGTCTACACATTCCTGATGTCTGTTTCTACACATTCCTGATGTCTGTGTCTACACATTCCTGATGTCTGTGTCTACACATTCAGGATGTCTGTGTCTACACATTCATGATGTCTGTGTCTACACATTTATGATGTCTGTGTCTACACATTCCTGATGTCTGTGTCTACACATTCCTGATGTCTGTGTCTACACATTCCTGATGTCTGTGTCTACACATTCCTGATGTCTGTGTCTACACATTCATGATGTCTGTGTCTACACATTCATGATGTCTGTGTCTACACATTTATGATGTCTGTGTCTACACATTTATGATGTCTGTGTCTACACATTTATGATGTCTGTGTCTACACATTTATGATGTCTGTGTCTACACATTCGGGATGTCTGTGTCTACACATTCGGGATGTCTGTGTCTACACATTCAGGATGTCTGTGTCTACACATTCATGATGTCTGTGTCTACACATTCAGGATGTCTGTGTCTACACATTCAGGATGTCTATGTCTACACATTCAGGATGTCTGTGTCTACACATTCGGGATATCTGTGTCTACACATTCAGAATGCCTGGGTCTACACATTCGGGATGCCTGGGTCTACACATTCGGGATGTCTGTGTCTACACATTCAGGATGTCTGTGTCTACACATTCCTGATGTCTTTGTCTACACATTCGGGATGTCTGTGTCTACACATTCGGGATGTCTGTGTCTACATATTCGGGATGTCTGTGTCTACACATTCAGGATGCCTGGGTCTACACATTCGGGATGTCTGGGTCTACACATTCAGGATGTCTGGGTCTACACATTCAGGATGTCTGTGTCTACACATTCAGGATGTCTGTGACTACACATTCAGGATGTCTGTGTCTACACATTCAGGATGTCTGTGACTGTCTGCTGCACCCCAGCTCTTCTTTCTGTCTGTGTGGTATCACCATGTCTGTGTAGTATCACCATGTCTGTGTGGTATCACCATGTCTGTGTGGTATCACCATGTCTGTCTGGTATCACCATGTATGTGTGGTATCACTATGTCTGTCTGTGTGGTATCACCATGTCTGTCTGTGTTGTATCACCATGTCTGTCTGTGTTGTATCACCATGTCTGTGTGGTATCACCATGTCTTTGTGGTATCACAATGTCTTTGTGGTATCACAATGTCTGTGTGGTATCACAATGTGTGGCAACACCATCTGTGTGGCAACACCATGTCTGGGTGGTATCACCATGTCTGTGTGGTATCACAATGTCTGTGTGGTATCACAATGTCTGTGTGGTATCACAATGTCTGTGTGGTACCACCATGTCTGTGTGGTATCACAATGTCTGTGTGGTATCACAATGTCTGTGTGGTATCACCATGTCTGTCTGTATTGGATCACCATGTCTGTCTGTCTGTGGTATCACCATGTCTGTGTGGCCCTACCATGTCTGTGTGGTATCACCATGTCTGTGTGGTATCACCATGTCTGTGTGGTATCACCATATCTGTGTGGTTTCACCATATCTGTGTGGTATCAACATATCTGTGTGGTATCACTATACCTGTGTGGTATCACTATATCTGTGTGGTATCACTATATCTGTGTGGTATCACCATATCTGTGTGGTATCACCATATCTGTGTGGTATCACCATATCTGTGTGGTATCACCATATCTGTGTGGTATCACCATATCTGTGTGGTATCACCATATATGCCTGGTATCACCATATATGCCTGGTATCACCCTACCTGTGTGGTATCACCATATCTGTGTGGTATCACCATTTATGTGTTGTATCACCATATCTGTGTTTTATCACCATATCTGTGTGGTATCACCATATCTGTGTGGTATCACCATGTCTGTGTGGTATCACCATGTCTGTGTGGTATCACCATGTCTGTGTGGTATCACCATATCTGTGTGGTATCACCATATCTGTGTGGTATCACCATATCTGTGTGGTATCACCATATCTGTGTGGTATCACCATGTCTGTGTGGTATCACCATATCTGTGTGGTATCACCATGTCTGTGTGGTATCACCATGTCTGTATGGTATCACCATGTCTGTGTGGTATCACCATATCTGTGTGGTATCACAATGTCTGTGTGGTATCATCATATCTGTGTGGTTTCACTGTAATTATTGTTTCATTTATTCCTACAGGTGGACAAACTTTCCTTGTCAAAGCTTCCAGAGGCACTGTTCCCGTGTGGTATCACCATGACGACAGGGGAGGTAAGGTCATGGAGGTGTTTACCGAATTTGAGGTCAACTCAGTTCAAGGACGAGGCATCAGTGAATATTTTTACAGGTGAGTAAATGCATGACATCAACACTTCATGTCTGTGAGCCACTCTTGTGGTGAGAGAATTTACAGAGTTGATTAACTTGTTGAGAGATTGTAGTCAAAGTTAGTTAACTTGTTGAGTATGTTCAGTGTTAATTCACTTGTTGAGAGAGTGTGTTCAGTGTTAATTCACTTGTCAAGAGAGTGTGTTCAGTGTTAATTCACTTGTTAAGAGAGTGTGTTCAGTTTTAATTCACTTGTTGAGTGTATTCAGTGTTAATTACCTTGTTGGACAGTGTATTTAGTGTTAATTAACTTGTTGGAGAGTGTGTTCAGTGTTAATTAACTTGTTGGAGAGTGCGTTCAGTGTTAATTCACTTGTTAAGAGAGTGTGTTCAGTTTTAATTCACTTGTTGAGTGTATTTAGTGTTAATTCACTTGTTGGAGAGTGTATTCAGTGTTAATTAACTTGTTGGAGAGTGTGTTCAGTGTTAACTTGTTGGAGAGTGCAATAAGTGGTGTTTACATTTCTCGTTGTCTAGGTGGTGTTCATGCGTGTGTCGTGAATGTTCTTCTCACACACTCCACATTACATAACTGGTACAAGCCGACACCTATGTAAGCTTACGAGACATAAGTTTATTGGCATATTGACACTTACAGTAGAGTTCAGTTGTTGTCCTAATCACAGCTCTCGCACACCAATTCACGCAGCTTTCAACGAGCCGGTTCTTCATGCATTCACTGACCAACGTGGGCTCCCGTGAATCAAGTTGAGGTTCTGGCCATTTCACAGACTGGCATGGTCGATCTTGGCTTCACACTTTGTCGTCAGGGTCTCCTTTCTCAACAATCACTCTTACGTTGACATTCTTCCACTCAGTCTCACATCCTCTCGCTCCTACAGGTCGACACAAACTAAACTTGACCAGAATCATGTCTGACTTATACCACGGGTTAGTTTCACGTGGCAACACAAGGGGGTTCTTTACTTTCACGTGGTGACCTTTGGTCGCGTCGTCATGATACCCGTGATAACTAGTGGTCATCACCTATCTCAAGATCCTCATTTAATCCGAGTATCTGGAACATCTCGGTGTTTTGGGTTAGCTTTGGGCCTTCCCCCCAACCTTCCTAATCTGGATGAAAATATCCCCCATTACAGAGAGTGTATTCAGTGTTAATTAACATGTTGGAGAGTGTGTTCAGTGTTAATTAACTTGTTGGAGAGTGTATTCAGTGTTAATTAACTTGTTGGAGAGTGCGTTCAGTGTTAATTCACTTGTTAAGAGAGTGTGTTCAGTTTTAATTCACTTGTTGAGTGTATTTAGTGTTAATTCACTTGTTGGAGAGTGTATTCAGTGTTAATTAACTTGTTGGAGAGTGTGTTCAGTGTTAACTTGTTGGAGAGTGCAATAAGTGGTGTTTATATTTCTTGTTGTCTAGGTGGTGTTCATGCGTGTGTCGTGAATGTTCTTCTCACACACTCCACGTTACATAACTGGTACAAGCCGACACCTATGTAAGCTTATGAGACATAAATTTATTGGCATATTGACACTTACAGTAGAGTCCAGTTGTTGTCCTAATCACAGCTCTTGCACACCAATTCACGCAGCCTTCAACGAGCAGGTTCTTCATGCATTCACTGACCAACGTGGGCTCCCGTGAATCAAGTTGAGGTTCTGGCCATTTCACAGACTGGCATGGTCGATCTTGGCTTCACACTTTGTCGTCAGGGTCTATTTTCTCAACAATCACTCTTACGTTGACATTCTTCCACTCAGTCTCACATCCTCTCGCGTCGCTCCTACAGGTCGACACAAACTAAACTTGACCAGAATCATGTCTGACTTATACCACGGGTTAGTTTCACGTGGCAACACAAGGGGGTTCTTTACTTTCACGTGGTGACCTTTGGTCGCGTCGTCATGATACCCGTGATAACTAGTGGTCATCACCTATCTCAAGATCCTCATTTAATCCGAGTATCTGGAACATCTCGGTGTTTTGGGTTAGCTTTGGGCCTTCCCCCCAACCTTCCTAATCTGGATGAAAATATCCCCCATTACAGAGAGTGTATTCAGTGTTAATTACCTTGTTGGAGAGTGTATTCAGTGTTAATTACCTTGTTGGAGAGTGTATTCAGTGTTAATTAACTTGTTGGAGAGTGTATTCAGTCTTAATTAACTTGTTGGAGAGTGTATTCAGTGTTAATTAACTTGTTGGAGAGTGTATTCAGTCTTAATTAACTTGTTGGAGAGTGTATTCAGTGTTAATTAACTTGTTGGAGAGTGTATTCAGTTCTAATTAACTTGTTGGAGAGTGTATTCAGTGTTAATTAACTTGTTGGAGAGTGTATTCAGTGTTAATTAACTTGTTGGAGAGTGTATTCAGTCTTAATTAACTTGTTGGAGAGTGTGTTCAGTGTTAATTAACTTGTTGGAGAGTGTATTCAGTGTTAATTAACTTGTTGGAGAGTGTATTCAGTCTTAATTAACTTGTTGGAGAGTGTGTTCAGTGTTTATTAACTTGTTGGAGAGTGTATTCAGTGTTAATTAACTTGTTGGAGAGAGTGTATTTAGTGTTAATTTACTGAATTGCCAGAGAGTGTGTTCAGTGTTAATTCACCTGCTGAGTATGTTTAGTGTTAATAAACTTTTTTGAGAGAGGTTATTTGATCATCAGTTTAATTGTATTGTAAACTGAGAACACCAGATCATCATTAAAACTGTTGACTGACTTTGCTCATCAAAGATTAAACTGTTGCATGAATGTATTCGATCCTAAATTATATTGTTATGCCTGAACCATATTTAAGAGTTTATATTTGTTTTCCTTCATTAGAAATTTAGATGGGCCATCCATGACATTTGCTGCCACATGTCCTCTGGTCCGGGAACCTTCCCAAGATGAAATAAGTAACAATCTTGGGGACTTGACTCTTCCCTTGACAAGTTTAGCATGCAGATCTTTAGCATGCAGATCTTCAGCCTTGGTGGGAGGAAAAGGTGGCCAGCTGGCCCAGCTGGCAAGTCTTCAAGTGAGTTGTTATTACACACAAAACTTTTCAATTGGAATGAAGTTAATCAACTCATTTTTCAGTGACCATCAACTGTTCTTATTTTGGTTCAGGTGAGCCCTTTGTGAGAAGGAGAAAACTGGTGTATGTTGGACAACAGGGAAGTTAGAGGGAAAGGAAGACAGAAGGTAATCAAGCAAGAAGATGCAAGACAAATCTGGCATCAGGGCATGAAGGATAATTTGTGTCAGAAATTATTGAAAGTTCACACGACTGAAGACTACCGAACATGTAAAAATTGCTTTATTTACACATTGGGTACTTAACACCCTCTGGACTGAATTGCCAACACAGTTTCATTTAAACTTCTAGGGGATTAAACTGCCCACACAGTGTTATCTCAAACCCCCTAGTTATGGCCTCTGGTCCTCCATAGGAGGGTATTTATTTCCCTGGCCCACGTGTCTCGGCAGTCTGCTGAAAAGTCAATGACCCGGCTGCTTCGAGATACCAGCTAAGTGATTTTGTGTATTTGTGGGGTATTCTTTGATTTGTGTATGTGCCGGTAAAGGCTCCATAGCTGCAACATTTACATTTTTGTTTGTATTTGTTATACTGTGAAGCTTGCTCATATACTTTGAGTTCAGTTTTATATCTTTTCTTGATGTAGTATAAGAAGTCAAATCTTTGCTATTCCATTGTCTTGTTTCTGACTGCAGGAAATCTGCTCCCTTTGTGGTTACCACTGAACATATTTTGCATGTCTGTGCATCTGTTATTCCTGGATACATTGTAAATGACCATGCCAGGCAATGTCTGATGTTCTCTACTGTCTGTGTGTGGCAGTGTCTGATGTTTTCTTTTGTCTATGTGTGGCAATGTCTGATGTTCTCTACTGTTTATGTGTGGCAATGTCTGATGTTTTCAACTGTTTATGTGTGGCAGTGTCTGATGTTTTCTACTGTTTATGTGGCAGTGTCTGATATTTTCTATTGTCTATGTGTGGCAATGTCTGATGTTCTCTATTGTCTGTGTGTGGCAATGTCTGATGTTATCTACTGTATGTGTGTGCAGTGTCTGATGTTCTCTATTGTCTGTGTGGCTTGATCTCCCAGGTGGCTGCTCAAGTTTCGCCTGGAGTTTGTTTGACCCTCAGTTCCTGTCAGCTCCAGTTTCAGGTGAATAGACATTCTTTTACAGTGATTATCTATTCTTTATACTGATAATATACTTTATTATATCAGTTTTATTATACTACTGTTGAATGATTGTTACTCTTTCATTATGCCATTTAAAGCATTTTTATACTTTAATTTTATGATTGATATAGTGTCATCTATCAGTTAGCCCCACTGCTTAGACACCAAAATGTCTCCCTTTCAGGAAACAGCGAATGATTAATAGCATCTTCATCCCTACTTTATGCTTTCAGTGCCTAACATGAAGAATGAATGAATAGAACTGAAAAAAAAAAAAATAATTGTGGAATGTGCTGTCTCCATAAGGTCACTAACAACACAGAAACTAAGTGTGAAATGTGCTGTCTCCATAAGGTCACTAACAACACAGAAACTAAGTGTGGAATGTGCTGTCTCCATAAGGTCACTAACAACAAAGAAACTAAGTGTGGAATGTGCTGTCTCCATAAGGTCACTAACAACACAGAAAGGTCTCCATAAGGTCACTAACAACAAAGAAACTAAGTGTGGAATGTGCTGTCTCCATAAGGTCACTAACAACAAATAAACTAATTGTGGAATGTGCTGTCTCCATAAGGTCACTAACAACACAGAAACTAAGTGTGAAATGTGCTGTCTCCATAAGGTCACTAACAACACAGAAAGGTCTCCATAAGGTCACTAACAACACAGAAAGGTCTCCAAAAGGTCACTAGCAACACAGAAACTAATGGTGGAATAGGCTGTCTCCATAAGGTCACTAACAACACAGAAACAAAGTGTGGAATGTGCTGTCTCCATAAGGTCACTAACAACACAGAAACAAAGTGTGAAATGTGCTGTCTCCATAAGGTCACTAACAACACAGAAATGTCTCCATAAGGTCACTAACAACACAGAAAGGTCTCCAAAAGGTCACTAGCAACACAGAAACTAATTGTGGAATAGGCTGTCTCCATAAGGTCACTAACAACACAGAAAGGTCTCCATAAGGTCACTAACAACACAGAAAGGTCTTCATAAGGTTACTAACAACACAGAAAGGTCTCCATAAGGTCACTAACAACACAGAAAGGTCTCCATAAGGTCACTAACAACACAGAAAGGTCTCCATAAGGTTACTAAAAACACAGAAAGGTCTCCATAAGGTCACTAAGAACACAGAAAGGTCTATATAAGGTCACTAACAACACAGATAGGTCTCCATAAGGTCACTAACAACACAGAAAAGTCTCCATAAGGTCACCAACAACATAGAAAGGTCTCCATAGGTCACTAACAACACAGAAAAGTCTCCATAAGGTCACCAACACAGAAAGGTCTATATAAGGTCACTAACAACACAGAAAGGTCTCCATAAGGTCACTAACAACACAGAAAGGTCTCCATAAGGTCACTAACAACACAGAAAGGTCTCCATAAGGTCACCAACAACACAGAAAGGGATGGGTTACCAGTGCCAGCATTAGAGAGAATGTCCAAGAGAGACCATGTCTGGAAAATATTGACAGAAAATGGATGATATTGACAGAGAATGAATGATAATGACAGAGAATGAATGATACTGAAAGAGAATGGATAATATTGACAGAGAATGGATGATATTGACAGAGAATGAATGATACTGACAGGGAATGGATGATATTGACAGAGAATGGATGATATTGACAGAGAATATATTATATTGACAGAGAATGGATGATACTGACAGAGAATGGATGATACTGACAGAGAATGGATGATACTGACAGAGAATGGATGATACTGACAGAGAATGGATGATATTGACAGAAAATGGATGTACTGACAGAGAATGGATAATACTGACAGAGAATGAATGATACTGACAGAGAATGGATGATATTGACAGAGAATGGATGATATTGACAGAGAATAGATTATATTGACAGAGAATGGATGATACTGACAGAGAATGGATGATACTGACAGAGAATGGATGATATTGACAGAGAATGGATGATACTGACAGAGAATGGATGATACTGACAGAGAATGGATGATACTGACAGAGAATGGATGATACTGACAGAGAATGGATGATATTGAAAGAGAATGGATCATACTGAGAGAGAATGGATGATACTGACAGAGAATGGATGATACTGACAGAGAATGGATGATAGTGACAGAGAATGGATGATACTGACAGAGAATGGATGATACTGACAGAGAATGGATGATACTGACAGATAATGGATGATACTGGCAGAGAATGGATGATACTGACAGAGAATGGATGATACTGACAGAGAATGGATGATACTGACAGAGAATGGATGATACTGACAGAGAATGGATGATACTGACAGAGAATGAATGATATTAACAGAGAATGGATGATATTGACAGAGAATGGATGATATTGACAGAGAATGGATGATATTGACAGAATGGATGATACTGACAGAAAATGGATGATACTGACAGAGAATGGATGTTACTGACAGAGAATGGATGATACTGACAGAGAATGGATGGTACTGACAAAGAATGGATGGTACTGTCAGAGAATGGGTGGTACTGACAGAGAATGGATGATATTGACAGAGAATGGAGGATATTGACAGAGAATGGATGATATTGACAGAGAATGGATGATATTGTTTGACTATCTCAGGAGAATGCATTCAAACCAAACTGCTTATGCGACTTTTATAGTAGAACATCTGGGAGGAAGGTTAAGGGAAAGATTTCAGTAAATGGTGTAGCCGAAACCTGCACAAAGAGCCACCCGAGAAGTGCAAGCCAAATACAGAAACCATGATAATGGTCAACAACCTGGTGTCAGTTTGGTGATAGAAGAAGAAACAGTTTCATTAAACAACTATTACACTGTTGTTATACTGTCATTATGCCACTGTTACACTGCTGTTGTACTGTCATTATGCCACTGTTAAACTGCTGTACTGTCAATAAATCAGGGATGCCCTGAGTGCTGTGATGTCAATTCACAACTCAACTTACCTCAACTCAACTAGACTGTTGTTAAAATGCCATAGTTGCTATTAATATATTGTCATAATATCAGTATTAGACTGTTGTTATGCTGTCATTATGTCAGTATTAGACTGTTGTTATGCTGTCATTATGTCAGCATTAGACTGTTGTTATGCTGTCATTATGTCAGCATTAGACTGTTGTTATATTGTCAATGTGTCAGCATTGGACTGTTGTTGTATTGTCAATGTGTCAGTATTAGACTGTTGTTATATTGTCAATGTGTCAGTATTGGACTGTTGTTATATTGTCAATGTGTCAGCATTGGACTGTTGTTATATTGTCAATGTGTCAGCATTAGACTGTTGTTATATTGTCAATGTGTCAGTATTAGACTGTTGTTATATTGTCAATGTGTCAGTATTGGACTGTTGTTATATTGTCAATGTGTCAGCATTGGACTGTTGTTATATTGTCAATGTGTCAGTATTAGACTGTTGTTATATTGTCAATGTGTCAGTATTAGACTGTTGTTATATTGTCAATGTGTCAGCATTGGACTGTTGTTATATTGTCAATGTGTCAGCATTGGACTGTTGTTATATTGTCAATGTGTCAGTATTAGACTGTTGTTATATTGTCAATGTGTCAGTATTAGACTGTTGTTATATTGTCAATGTGTCAGTATTAGACTGTTGTTATATTGTCAATGTGTCAGTATTAGACTGTTGTTATATTGTCAATGTGTCAGCATTGGACTGTTGTTATATTGTCAATGTGTCAGCATTGGACTGTTGTTATATTGTCAATGTGTCAGCATTAGACTGTTGTTATATTGTGAATGTGTCAGTATTAGACTGTTGTTATATTGTCAATGTGTCAGCATTAGACTGTTGTTATATTGTCAATGTGTCAGCATTGGACTGTTGTTATATTGTCAATGTGTCAGCATTGGACTGTTGTTATATTGTCAATGTGTCAGCATTAGACTGTTGTTATATTGTCAATGTGTCAGTATTAGACTGTTGTTATATTGTCAATGTGTCAGCATTAGACTGTTGTTTTATTGTCAATGTGTCAGTATTAGACTGTTGTTATATTGTCAATGTGTCAGTATTAGACTGTTGTTATATTGTCAATGTGTCAGTATTAGACTGTTGTTATATTGTCAATGTGTCAGCATTGGACTGTTGTTATATGTCAGTATTAGACTGTTGTATATTGTCAGTATTAGACTGTTGTTATATATGTTGTCATTGGACTGTTGTTATATTGTCAATGTGTCAGACTGTTGTTTATATTGTCAATGTGTCAGTCAGCATTAGACTGTTGTTATATTGTCAATGTGTCAGCATTGGACTGTTGTTATATTGTCAATGTGTCAGCATTCTCCTGTTGTTATACACCAGACTGTTGATTGTAACGCCATTGAGGCTGTTGCAATATTGTCAATGTGTCAGCATTAGACTGTTGTCAATAATTGTCAATTCAGTATTAGACTGTTGTTATATTGTCAATGTGTCAGTATAGACTGTTGTTATATTGTCAATGTGTCAGTATTAGACTTTGTTATATTGTCAATGTGTCAGCATTGGACTGTTGTTTTATTGTCATTGTATTAGACTGTTGTTATATTGTCAATGTGTCAGTATTAGACTGTTGTTATATTGTCAATGTGTCAGTATTAGACTGTTGTTATATTGTCAATGTGTCAGCATTAGACTGTTGTTTTATTGTCAATGTGTCAGCTTATATTCACTGTCACATTAGACCCTCACTGTTGTCATGTGTCAGTATTAGACATTGTCTCAGTAGTCACACCCTTACTGTCATGTGTCAGTATTAGATCCCTCACTGTCACATGACCTGTATATTGTCAATGTGTCAGCATTAGACTCACTCATCTCACTATCATATTGTCAACCTCATTAGGACTGTTGTTATATTGTCACTGTGTCATATTAACTGTCATTGTCACAATATCACTATTCACATACCTCACTATCACTTATGTCACTATCACACTACCTCACTGTCACATACCTCACTGTCACATCCCTCACTGTCACATACCTCACTATCACATACCTCACTTTCACATCCCTCACTGTCACATCCTTCACTGTCACTTACCTCACTGTCACATCCCTCACTGTCACTTACCTTACTGTCATCTCCCTCACTGTCACAACCCTCACTGTCACATCCCTCACTGTCACATCCCTGTCACTCATCTCACTATCACATTCCTCACTGTCACATCCCTCACTATCACTCACCTCACTATCACATACCTCACTATCACTCACCTCACTATCACATACCTCACTGTCACATACCTCACTGTCACATACCTCACTGTCACTTACCTCACTATCACATACCTCTGTACTTATCCCTCACATCACTCCCTCACTGTCACATCCTCACTCTTACCTCACTATACAGTCACTCACTGTCACATCCTTCACTGTAACTTAGCTCACTATCACTCAGCTCACATCACAGACCTCACTCTAGTTCATGTTCTATAACAGCTCAGCTCACTGTCACATCCCTCACTGTCACTTACCTCACTATCACTCAGCTCACTGTCACATCCTCACTCCCTGTTCTATGTCACATCCCTCAGCTCACTCCCTCACATCACCCTCACTCTCATTGATGTTCACTGTCACTCAGCTCACTGTCACATCCCTCACTCTAGTTGATGTTCTATAACAGCTCACATCACTCAGCTCACTGTCACATCCTCACTCTAATTGATGTTCTATAACAGCTCAGCTCACTGTCACATCCTTCACTCTACATTGATGTTCTATAACAGCTCACTCACTGTCACATCCTCACTCAATTGATGTTCTAACAGCTCAGCTCACTGTCACATCCTTCACTCTAATTGATGTTCTATAACAGCTCAGCTCACTGTCACATCCCTCACTGTTCACTATAACCTCAGCTCACTGTCACATCCTTCACTCTAGTTGATGTTCTATAACAGCTCAGCTCACTGTCACATCCTTCACTCTAATTGATGTTCTATAACAGCTCAGCTCACTGTCACATCCCTCACTGTAACTTAGCTCAATGTCACTCAGCTCACTGTCACATCCTTCACTGTAACTTAGCTCAATGTCACTCAGCTCACTGTCACAGACCTGACTCTAGTTGATGTTCTATAACAGCTCAGCTCACTGTCACATCCTTCACTCTAGTTGATGTTCTATAACAGCTCAGCTCACTGTCACATCCCTCACTCTAGTTGATGTTCTATAACAGCTCAGCTCACTGTCACATCCTTCACTCTAATTGATGTTCTATAACAGCTCAGCTCACTGTCACATCCCTCACTCTAATTGATGTTCTATAACAGCTCAGCTCACTGTCACATCCTTCACTCTAGTTGATGTTCTATAACAGCTCAGCTCACTGTCACATCCCTCACTCTAATTGATGTTCTATAACAGCTCAGCTCACTGTCACATCCTTCACTCTAATTGATGTTCTATAACACAGCTCACTGTCATCCCTCACTGTTCTATAACAGCTCAGCTCACTGTCACCCTCACTCTAATTGATGTTCTATAACAGCTCAGCTCACTGTCACATCCCTCACTCTAGTTGATGTTCTATAACAGCTCAGCTCACTGTCACATCCCTCACTCTAGTTGATGTTCTATAACAGCTCAGCTCACTGTCACATCCTTCACTCTAATTGATGTTCTATAACAGCTCAGCTCACTGTCACATCCCTCACTCTAATTGATGTTCTATAACAGCTCAGCTCACTGTCACATCCTTCACTCTAATTGATGTTCTATAACAGCTCAGCTCACTGTCACATCCCTCACTCTAATTGATGTTCTATAACAGCTCAGCTCACTGTCACATCCTTCACTCTAATTGATGTTCTATAACAGCTCAGCTCACTGTCACATCCCTCACTCTAATTGATGTTCTATAACAGCTCAGCTCACTGTCACATCCCTCACTCTAATTGATGTTCTATAACAGCTCAGCTCACTGTCACATCCTTCACTCTAATTGATGTTCTATAACAGCTCAGCTCACTGTCACATCCTCACTCTAATTGATGTCTATAACAGCTCCTCACTGTCACACTCACTCTAATTGATGTTCTATAACAGCTCAGCTCACTGTCACATCCCTCACTCTAGTTGATGTTCTATAACAGCTCAGCTCACTGTCACATCCTTCACTCTAATTGATGTTCTATAACAGCTCAGCTCACTGTCACATCCCTCACTCTAGTTGATGTTCTATAACAGCTCAGCTCACTGTCACAGACCTGACTCTAGTTGATGTTCTATAACAGCTCAGCTCACTGTCACATCCTTCACTGTAACTTAGCTCAATGTCACTCAGCTCACTGTCACATCCCTCACTCTAGTTGATGTTCTATAACAGCTCAGCTCACTGTCACATCCCTCACTCTAGTTGATGTTCTATAACAGCTCAGCTCACTGTCACATCCCTCACTCTAGTTGATGTTCTATAACAGCTCAGCTCACTGTCACATCCCTCACTCTAGTTGATGTTCTATAACAGCTCAGCTCACTGTCACAGACCTGACTCTAGTTGATGTTCTATAACAGCTCAGCTCACTGTCACAGACCTGACTCTAGTTGATGTTCTATAACAGCTCAGCTCACTGTCACAGACCTGACTCTAGTTGATGTTCTATAACAGCTCAGCTCACTGTCACATCCTTCACTGTAACTTAGCTCAATGTCACTCAGCTCACTGTCACATCCTTCACTGTAACTTAGCTCAATGTCACTCAGCTCACTGTCACAGACCTGACTCTAGTTGATGTTCTATAACAGCTCAGCTCACTGTCACATCCTTCACTGTAACTTAGCTCAATGTCACTCAGCTCACTGTCACAGACCTCACTCTAGTTGATGTTCTATAACAGCTCAGCTCACTGTCACATCCTTCACTGTAACTTAGCTCAATGTCACTCAGCTCACTGTCACAGACCTGACTCTAGTTGATGTTCTATAACAGCTCAGCTCACTGTCACAGACCTCACTCTAGTTGATGTTCTTTAACAGCGATGACCTGGCCAGGTTGCCCTCCGTGTGCAGTCAGGCAGTCGAGCTGATCTCCACCACAGACGTCTGCTCCCAGCTGCAGGCAGCCATATCTGAGTCCCTTGACAGTTGTTTTGGTTCCGAGTTTGAGCTACTGCAGTTTGCTGTGAGATCTTCTGCCGCAGGTGAAGATTGTGAAATAGGATAAGGTCATAGGTGTGGTTGTAGGTAATGGCAGATGTAGAAGTGTGGATGGGCAGATGTTTGTGTGGGGATCTGGGGGCAGATGTAAATGTGGGGATCTAGGGGTAGATGTATGTGTGGGGATCTGGGGGCAGATGTATGTGTGGGGATCTAGGGGCAGATGTATGTGTGGGGATCTAGGGGTAGATGTATGTGTGGGGATCTGGGGGCAGATGTATGTGTGGGGATCTGGGGGGCAGATGTATGTGTGGGGATCTGGGGGGCAGATGTATGTGTGGGGATCTGGGGGCAGATGTATGTGTGGGGATCTGGGGGCAGATGGATGTGTGTGGGGATCTGGGGGTAGATGGATGTGTGTGGGGATCTGGGGGCAGATGGATGTGTGTGGGGATCTGGGGGCAGATGGATGTGTGGGGGGGGGGGTCGGGTTCTTTTCCTGTGTTTAGTTATTCTGTTGGTGTGTTTATTTGTTCTTCTTCTGTATTTATTTGTTCCGTATACTTGTTTAAAATAAACATCTTTGTCGTTGGAGGCTATAAAAAGAAAGCTTGCATGCTGTACATGGACCAGTTAACATTTGGGTGGACAAGCCAAGACATTTAAATGCAAACTTATAAATTCTTTGAGAGCCAAAATGAGTAATCCAGAAGTTAATAAATTTCCCAGAAATTTTCTAATTGTTTTATTACTGTTTTGGGTATATTATTTCAGGCTTTTAAAGTAAACTTCAACTTGTCTAAATTGTTGTAGCTGATTTAAACTGAATAGAATAATCATCTTGATATGTGTCAACTTCCACCAGTTTATGATCTCATCCAATCTGAATTTGGCTTTTCATGATCACCTATGTCAGTTGGCAAGGCACTTGATGTTAATGACTTCTTGTTCATTGATGCCCAGATTTGTGTAGGGTTTAATTTGCTGTGATGATGGGTCACAGAGTCATTTGTCTGCTACATGCTCTGGCAGGTGAAGACGGCGCAGAGTCCTCGTCTGCAGGTCAGATGGAGACAGTCTTGGGTGTGACTGGGCTTTCTCAGGTGAGCAGTAGTGTAGTGATAATTCTCTCCTTGATAATTTTTGGTACATTAGCATTGATGTCAAATACTGAATATGCATGATGTGTTTGAGTTCCAGTGAGTGAAAATTGAGGACAAATCATGGTACACAGAAAACTGTTGGTGAAACGGGCGAATTGCCTAAACGTTGCAAAATGAAAGAATGTGAGAATCACTGGTGTGGGTGATCTAGTACATGTGGATGTGGTGATCTAGAACATGTGGGTGTGGGTGATCTAGTACATGTGGATGTGGTGATCTAGAACATGTGGGTGTGGGTGATCTAGTACATGTGGATGTGGTGATCTAGAACATGTGGGTGTGGGTGATCTAGAACATGTGGGTGTGGTGATCTAGAACATGTGGGTGTGATGATCTAGAACATGTGGGTGATCTAGAACATGTGGGTGTGGATGATCTAGAACATGTGGGTGTGATGATCTAGAACATGTGGGTATGGTGATCTAGAACATGTGGGTGTGGGTGATCTAGAACATGTGGGTGTGATGATTTAGAACATGTGGGTGTGGATGATCTAGAACATGTGGGTGTGATGATCTAGAACATGTGGGTATGGTGATCTAGAACATGTGGGTGTGGATGATCTAGAACATGTGGGTGTGGTGATCTAGAACATGTGGGTGTGGTGATCTAGAACATGTGGGTGTGGTGATCTAGAACATGTGGGTGTGGATGATTATTTAATGCCTGCAATGATCCAGAATGATCAGTCATGGGTTCAGTCGTGTTCGAGTCTGTGTCGGTTCTGGAACGGTGTGAATAATAGAGAGAATGGAGAACCAATATAATTGTTAGTAAAAGTTTGTACCAGTGGTTGATTGTGAGTTTCCCTGTCCTAATAGACAGGCTATAATGTCAATTTGTCTTCCTGTTAATTTGTCTTCCTGTCAATTTGTCTTCCTGTCAATTTGTCTTCCTGTCAATTTGTCTTCCTGACGATTTGTCTTCCTGATGATTTGTCTTCCTGTCAAATTGTCTTCCTGTCAATTTGTCTTCCTGTCGATTTGTCTTCCTGTCCATTTGTCTTCCTGTTGATTTGTCTTTTGTCGATTTGTTTTCCTGTCAAGCTTGGATGTTGTTGGCTGAAGCTCTTTATAGATTGTTCTGAAATATTATGCACCAAAGGTGACGTGTGTTTAATGAATTTGAGAGATGCTGTGCCAAGTGGCCAAACTAAGTTACCCTAGACGTGTATTTGATGAATTTGAGAGATGCTGTGTCAAGTGACCAAACTAAGTTACCCTTGATGTGTATTTGATGAATTTGAGAGATGCTGTGCCAAGTGGCCAAACTAAGTTACCCTAGACGTGTATTTGATGAATTTGAGAGATAGTGTGTCAAGTGACGAACTTAGTTACCCTAGACGTGCGTTTGATGAATTTGAGAGATGCTGTGTCAAGTGGCCGAACTTAGTTACCCTAGACGTGTATTTGATGAATTTGAGAGATGCTGTGTCAAGTGGCCGAACTTAGTTACCCTATATGTGTGTTTGATGAAGTTGAGAGATGCTGTGTCAAGTGGCCAAACTAAGTTACCGTAGACGTGTATTTGATGAATTTGAGAGATAATGTGTCAAGTGACGAACTTAGTTACCCTAGACGTGTGTTTGATGAATTTGAGAGATGCTGTGTCAAGTGACCGAACTTACTAGATGTGTTTTTCCTCTAAGTTTACTGGCTGACAAGTCTGCTGTGTTTGAATAAAAAAAAATATTGTCAGTGATCACGTGTGGGGCCCTCACCTCATCCGTTGTTCAGCCTGTTGAGTTTTATGTCAGTGTTACTGGGAGTAGTCTGCTAATGGCTAGAGCCAGAGACTAAGAAGAAAGAGAGTCATTGCAAATAGCATATATATCTTTCTCATCATCACTTGTTGTGATATAAACATTAGATGTTGGACACGTCATGCCATTACGGAAGATATGTGATATTTCAGTTAGATGTTTGACATATCCCACCATCACAAACTTGTGATATTTCAGTTAGATGTTTGACACATCACACCATCACAAACTTGTGATATTTCAGTTACATGTTTGACATGTCACACCATCAAAAACTTGTGATATTTCAGTTAGATGTTTGACACGTTACACCGTCACCAACATGTGATACTTTTGTTATCATATAATGATATCATTGCCTGACTTGGTATTATTTAGTCATCAGAAGCAGACACTGTCACATCAAAACTCAGCTTATCAATCTTCAGTGTTCTGGTAGCCTAATGTTAGCTGACAAGTACACTTGAATGATCCATGTAGCTGTTGGCATTGTTGAGTTTTGGAGACTGAAGTTTGGACAGTTCTGTTTTCTCGCTTTTGTTGTCTTTGTGCTTTCTAATTAAAACACATTTTCACATAAAGGAAAATTTAAATGAAGAAAGGTTGACATAAAGATAGGCTCTTTTTCTTTCTCTCTCTCTCTCTCTGTCTCTCTCTCTGTCTCTCTCTCTCCCCCTCTCTTTATGTCTCTCTCTCTGTGTCTTTCTCCCTCTCTGTCTCCCTCTCTCTCTCCCTCTCTCTCTCTGTCTCTCTCTGTCTCTCTCTCTGTCTCTCTCTCCCTCTCTCTCTCTCTCTCTCTCCCTCTCTCTCTCTCTCTCACACACACACACACACACACATGCTGACACATAAATCTAAGTTGACATGAAGATAGGTTTGACATGAAGATAGGTTTGACATGAAGATAGGTTTGACATGAAGATAGGTTTGACATGAAGATAGGTTTGACATGGATGCTGGGTTTCCTGTCTCAGATTGTGAAAGCTGTGAAACAATGTTGGGCGTCAGCTTACAGCCACCAGGCCGTGGAGTACCGCAGACAGCATGGTCAGCCAATCAGTGTCTTAGTGGGCGTGGTCATACAACAACTGGTGCCTGCAGACACAGCAGGTGATTTAACAGATCTCTTTCTCCATAGCTCCATCAAATCTCCTCCTTATCCCCATCAGATCTTCTCCTCCATATCCCCATCAGATCTCCTCCTTATCCCCATCAGATCTCCTCCTTATCCCCATCAGATCTTCTCCTTATCCCCATCAGATCTCCTCCTTATCCCCATCAGATCTTCTCCTTATCCCCATCAGATCTCCTCCTTATCCCCATCAGATCTTCTCCTTATCCCCATCAGATCTCCTCCTTATCCCCATCAGATCTTCTCCTTATCCCCATCAGATCTCCTCCTTATCCCCATCAGATCTCCTCCTTATCCCCATCAGATCTTCTCCTTATCCCCATCAGATCTCCTCCTTATCCCCATCAGATCTTCTCCTTATCCCCATCAGATCTCCTCCTTATCCCCATCAGATCTCCTCCATATCCCCATCAAATCTCCTCCTTATCCCCATCAGATCTTCTCCTTATCCCCATCAGATCTTCTCCTCCTTATCCCCATCAGATCTTCTCCTCCATAGCTCCATCGGATCTCATCCATAGCTCGGATTTGCTAGAGACACCTCCTGTAAATCCACTTCATGTCGTATTATGAAAGCACCAAAAAAAATGGACGTAAACGAGACAAATCCTGGATGGATCACGCTAAGGTCGCCATCAAACATATTTGCCACCTTACTGACATCAGTTTTGGAATTGAATGGATCCCCTGTGCCTCCTACTCCAGACATTAATAGTATAGTCCATATTTCACTTGATGGAAGCTGTAGAGAGCAGATTCCTGGCATTGTGGACACTTAGGTTTGAACACTGATTGATGAAAACACAGATGAAGGTGATGCTGTAGTTTACACAGATGGATCAGTAATTTGGGGCAAGCACTGGGCATGGGCATTCACAGTAAGCTCACGAGGGAAAGCCATGAAGGGCACCTTTGCCGTTACAACCAGCAGCCATACAATGGAAACTATGGCTGTAACAAGGGACTTAGCTTGGCCGTTTACTCAAAAGTTTACACACTTGTGCATACTTAGTGATTCAGTGATTATGTTTAAGAAAATTCAGGTTGGTTTCATCAGACAAGAATGGCCTGAAACACTAAGCACTTCGTGAATGGCTGCCCTAACTTCATCTTTGTGCCAGATTATGCGGTGCTCAGGGGAACAAGCATGCAGTTTATCTTGCAGACACTGCGGTCACTATAGCTGATCCAGTACTGGACAGAAGCGATGTTATCAATGCCACGCCTAGCATTTACCTTACTAAGGAAGGCACTAAAGGACATGACTCCGTATCCCTGTCTAGGCTGATGGACATGGGGCACAGCCTGGAGCTGCAAGAATTGAACATTTCACTAGGAGGACAAGACGCTTCCCTAATCAACACAGAACAGGCGTCATCAGTCGTTTTACACTTATGGAGCTTTTGAAGAGCAGATCCGAGCACTTATGGATCTGTCCAGAGTGTCTGATCAGTCACCAGTCTATTAGTCTAGTCAGCTCAGTCACTCTATTTGTTTGATCAGTCACCGGTCTATTTGTCTGGTCAGTCACTAGTCTGTCTGGTCAGTCAACATTCTTTGTCTGGTCAGTTACTAGTCTATTGATTCTTTGAGATTAAATGTCTTAGAAGAGCTGTAGGAGTTTCAAGGAAAGACAGAATATGAAATCACGAAATCAGACGAATGTTAGGAATACAGCCAGTCTAACAGGTCACAAAGAACAACAAATGATGTAGTCTGGACACCTAACAAGAATGCCCTGGTACTATCTACTACAACATGCCACACTGAAATGTTACAATGGTTATAGAGGGAGTGAAAGACTTTGGAAAAGATGGAGTGATGGCATCAAGAACAGCCTTACAGAAATGAACATCAATCAGTGCTCTTGACAGAGCTCATCAACGAACATTACATCTTCCCCCGACCCTCCACTGAGGTACAAGGTGGAAGAGAAGAAGAAGAAGAAGAAGAAGATTCATTGACATGTAATTTTCAATTATTCATGCACATATAATTGCTAAAATTCTTTTATTGATGTATTAATTTACATGTAATCTTGATTGATTCACACAGATTTATTAATTGATCAATTCCTGTAGGTGTTATGTTGGATTCACACAGACATATTAACTGATCAATTCCTGTAGCTGTGATGTTGATGATTCACACAGACATATTAATTTATCAATTCCTGTAGCTGTGATGTTGATGATTCACACAGACATATTAACTGATCAATTCTCGTAGCTGTGATGTTGATGATTCACACAGACATATTAACTGATCAATTCTTGTAGGTGTGATGTTGATGATTCACACAGACATATTAACTGATCAATTCCTGTAGCTGTAATGTTGATGATTCACACAGACATGTTAACTGATCAATTCTCGTAGCTGTGATGTTGATGATTCACACAGACATATTAACTGATCAATTCTCGTAGGTGTGATGTTGATGATTCACACAGACATATTAATTTATCAATTCATGTAGCTGTGATGTTGATGATTCACACAGACATATTAACTGATCAATTCTCGTAGCTGTGATGTTGATGATTCACACAGACATATTAACTGATCAATTCTCGTAGCTGTGATGTTGATGATTCACACAGACATATTAACTGATCAATTCCTGTAGCTGTGATGTTGATGATTCACACAGACATATTAACTGATCAATTCTCGTAGCTGTGATGTTGATGATTCACACAGACATATTAACTGATCAATTCTCGTAGGTGTGATGTTGATGATTCACACAGACATATTAATTTATCAATTTCTGTAGCTGTGATGTTGATGATTCACACAGACATATTAACTGATCAATTCTCATAGGTGTGATGTTGATGATTCACACAGACATATTAACTGATCAATTCTCATAGCTGTGATGTTGATGATTCACACAGACATATTAACTGATCAATTCCTGTAGCTGTGATGTTGATGATTCACACAGACATATTAACTGATCAATTCTCGTAGCTGTGATGTTGATGATTCACACAGACATATTAACTGATCAATTCTCGTAGGTGTGATGTTGATGATTCACACAGACATATTAATTTATCAATTCCTGTAGCTGTGATGTTGATGATTCACACAGACATATTAACTGATCAATTCTCGTAGGTGTGATGTTGATGATTCACACAGACATATTAACTGATTAATTCTCGTAGCTGTGATGTTGATGATTCACACAGACATATTAACTGATCAATTCTCGTAGGTGTGATGTTCACCGCCGACCCCATCTCTGGAAGTATCAGCAGTGTTGTTATCAATGCTAACTATGGACTGGGAGAGTCAGTTGTGTCCGGCAGGTCAGATCCAGATACCATAACTGTGAACAGAGATCCAGAATTCTTGTATGACCCAACTGCTCTCCAAGTTGGCTGTGTGACACCCGGAGAGAAGAAGCTGAAGATTGTCATGTCAGGTTTGGTTGGTTTGGTCATGATCATCTGTTATCTTTGCTGTGTTAAATCAGTGCGGGTTATTGGATCAGCATGAGTAATTAGTTGTGTTTGCAATTAGATGTTTGAGCATGAGCAACTGCATCTGTGTGAGGAATTAGATTTGTCTATAATTAGATGTTTGAGCAGCTGCATCTGTGTGGGGAATTATATGTGTTTATAATTAGATGTTTGAGCAACTGCATCTGTGTGAGGAATTAGATGTGTTTATAATTAGATGTTTGAGCAGCTGTATCTGTGTGAGGAATTAGATGTGTTTATAATTAGATGTTTGAGCAACTGTATCTGTGTGAGGAATTAAATGTGTTTATAATTAGATGTTTGAGCAACTGTATCTGTATGAGCAATTAAATGTGTTTATAATTAGATGTTTGAGCAACTGTATCTGTGTGAGGAATTATATGTGATTATAATTAGATGTTTGAGCAACTGTATCTGTGTGAGGAATTAGATATGTTTATAATTAGATGTTTCAGCAACTGCATCTGTGTGAGGAATTCAATGTGTTTATAATTACATGTTTGAGCAACTGCATCTGTGTGAGGAATTAGATGTGTTTATAATTAGATGTTTGAGCAACTGTATCTGTGTGAGCAATTAAATGTGTTTATAATTAGATGTTTGAGCAACTGTATCTGTGTGAGGAATTAGATGTGTTTATAATTACATGTTTGAGCAACTGTATATGTGTGAGGAATTAGATGTGTTTTGTTTATATTTAGATGTTTGAGCAACTGTATCTGTGTGAGTAATTAGGTCTGAGTGAGTAATTCAATCTGTTTGAATAATTAGATGTGTGTGAAAATATTTATTAGCATGAATAATTAAATATTTGCATGTAATAATATATGTACAGCTAATTGGACCAGTAATAATATCTGTACAGCTAATTGGACCAGTAATAATATCTGTAGGGCAAATTGGACCATTATTAAAATCTGTACGGCTAATTGGACCAGTAATAATATCTGTACAGCTAATTGGACCAGTAATAATATCTGTACGGCTAATTGGACCAGTGATAATATCTGTACGGCTAATTGGACCAGTGATAATATCTGTACGGCTAATTGGACCAGTGATAATATCTGAACGGCTAATTGAACCAGTGATAATATCTGTACTACTAATTGGACCAGTGATAATATCTGAACGGCTAATTGAACCAGTGATAATATCTGTACTACTAATTGGACCAGTGATAATATCTGTACGGCTAATTGAACCAGTGATAATATCTGTACAGCTAATTGGACCAGTAATAATATCTGTAGGGCTAATTGGACCATTATTAAAATCTGTACAGCTAATTGGACCAGTGATAATATCTGTACGGCTAATTGAACCAGTGATAATATCTGTACGGCTAATTGAACCAGTGATAATATCTGTACGGCTAATTGGACCAGTGATAATATCTGTATGGCTAATTGGACCAGTGATAATATCTGTACGGCTAATTGGACCATTAATAATATCTGTACGGCTAATTGGACCAGTGATAATATCTGTACGGCTAATTGGACCAGTGATAATATCTGTAGGGCTAATTGGACCAGTGATAATATCTGTACGGCTAATTGGACCAGTGATAATATCTGTACGGCTAATTGGACCAGTGATAATATCTGTACGGCTAATTGGACCAATGATAATATCTGTATGGCTAATTGGACCAGTGATAATATCTGTACGGCTAATTGGACCAGTGATAATATCTGTATGACTAATTGAACCAGTGATAATATCTGTACAGCTAATTGGACCATTAATAATATCTGTACGGCTAAATGGACCAGTGATAATATCTGTACGGCTAATTGGACCAGTGATAATATCTGTACGGCTAATTGGACCAGTGATAATATCTGTACGGCTAATTGGACCAGTGATAATATCTGTACGGCTAATTGGACCAGTGATAATATCTGTACTACTAATTGGACCAGTGATGGTAGTTTGATTGGTGATAAATGTAGAAGATGGTGGCCCAGTGACATATTTCTGTTACCCTCTTCCGTGACAGCTACAGGAGAGCTGATAGAGAAATCCGCTGCTGATGGAGCATCAGCTGTCTGCCTTACAGATAAGATGATTCTGAAACTGGCAGCTCTGAGTATTGAGGTAGATCTCTGTACCTGCACTGTGCTTCTGTTGGCTTCTGTATGTTTCTGTGTATACGTTAGATTCCTGATATGTCAGGTTTTATTTTAAGCTCCTATCGTATAGTATGTTGCGTGTAGCCTGTTGTGTACCATCTGCTATGTGTAGTCTATTATTTGTAGTCTGTTGTGTGCTATCTGCTGTGTGTAGTATGTTGTGTGTCAATGCTGTGTGTAGTCTGTTGTGTGTAGTCTGTTTTATGTCATCTGTAGTGTGTCATCTGTTGTCTGTTAGGTTTTATGTTGACCTCCTGGTGTTTAGTCTGTAGTGTGTAGTCCGTTGGGTGCAGTCTGTTGGGTGCAGTCTGTTGGGTGCAGTCTGTTGTGTGTAGTCTGTTGGGTTGTCTATTGTGTGGAGTTTATTTTTTTTTTATGTTATGTTTGTAATGTTTATAAACTGAAATTATGTTGGTCACAGATTGGGGGGGGGGGGGGGTGCATGCACATATGTGTGTGGGGGCATGCACGTGTGCAACTGTATGCATGTATGCATACATGCATTTATGTGCAGATATGTACACACATGTGGGTTGGTGTGTGTGTGTGCATGCATGCGTGGGCACATGTCTGTGATGGGGGAGGGGGGAGAAGAAAGGAATACATCTCATTTCTCACCAGGCATGCACTCACATACACATGTGTGTGATGGGGAGGGGGGAGAAGAAAGGAATACATCTCATTTCTCACCAGGCATGCACTCACATACACATGTGTGTGATGGGGAGGGGGGAGAAGAAAGGAATACATCTCATTTCTCACCAGACATGATTTTCAAATTGTCTTTAGCTGGATAAACATTTCGGAGCTCCCCGAGACATTGAGTGGGCCATTGTTGGTGAGGATGTGTTCCTGCTTCAGGTATGTGTCAACATACAGGCATGCACTCACATACACATGTGACAACATACAGGCATGCACTCACATACACATGTGACAACATACAGAACATACAGGCATGCACTCACATACACATGTGACAACATACAGGCATGCACTCACATACACATGTGTCAACATACAGGCATGCACTCACATACACATGTGTCAACATACAGGCATGCACTCACATACACATGTGTCAACATACAGGCATGCACTCACATACACATGTGTCAACATACAGGCATGCACTAACATACACATGTGACAACATACAGGCTTGCACTCACATACAGGCATGCACTCACATACTGGCATGCACTCACATACTGGCATGCACTCACATACACATGTGTCAACATACAGGCATGCACTCACATACACATGTGTCAACATACAGGCATCCACTCACATACACTTGTGTCAATATACAGAACATACAGGCATGCACTCACATACAGGCATGCACTCACGTACACATGTGTCAACATACAGGCATGCACTCACATACACATGTGTGTGTATACATCTGTCTGTGTGGTGATGTTGGATGTAAATATTTATATTGCATACAAAAGTTAAAACATATGTATTTATTACCACACACACCCACTCTCTCACACAGACAGACACACACACTGACACACTGACATGCAGGAGACAAACACCAACACAAGTAACAGAGTGAACTAGGCAGAAGGAACATGGAAACAGCTGGGAAGGAACATGGAAACAGCTGGGAAGGAACATGGAAACAGCTGGGAAGGAGTAAAAAGGTGGTGGGGGGGGGCGGTGCTAGTCAATTCTTGCCATGATTATTTTATCACCAACTGAGTCAGTGATGCTAGAAATGTCTTGCAAGTACAGGAGGCTAGAATGTTGGTGACCTATCAAGTGCAGATGGGTCAATAAAATGGGCCTCATCATATGCCCACCTATCAGTGGCATCAAAATAGTTCTTGTAAAAGATCAACTTCTGATACTGAAGACTAAACTTCAGCTACAGGAAACCACAGAAATGTATATGGTGATTTTCATTTCAATTTTGATCTCACTCAGTTAGAATAGAAATAAATTTGGTGTTTTCCGTGGCAATTTTGATCTCGCTCAGTTAGAATAGAAATATATTTGGTGTTTTCCGTGGCAATTTTGATCTCGCTCAGTTAAAAAGAAATGCTTCCTTGCCCAAATCAGGTACTAACATAAATGTGTGTGCTTTCTTTTTAACCTGATTAAGTTTCTGTTACACTGTACTGTGTTGTTGTTTTTTGTTTTCTTTTTAACCTGATTAAGTATCTGTTACACTGTACTGTGTTGTTGTTTTTTGTTTTCTTTTTAACCTGATTAAGTATCTGTTACACTGTACTGTGTTGTTGTTTTTTGTTTTCTTTTTAACCTGATTAAGTATCTGTTACACTGTACTGTGTTGTTGTTTTTTTTTTGTTTTCTTTTTAACCTGATTAAGTATCTGTTACACACTGTACTGTGTTGTTGTTTTTTGTTTTCTTTTTTAACCTGATTAAGTATCTGGTTACACTGTACTGTGTTGTTGTTTTTTGTTTTTCTTTTAACCTGATTAAGTATCTGTTACACTGTACTGTGTGTTTGTTGTTTTTTGTTTTCTTTTTAACCTGATTAAGTATCTGTTACACTGTACTGTGTTGTTGTTTTTTGTGTTTGTTTTTTAAACCTGATTAAGTATCTGTTACACTGTACTGTGTTGTTGTTTTTTGTTTTCTTTTTAACCTGATTAAGTATCTGTTACACTGTACTGTGTTGTTGTTTTTTGTTTTCTTTTTAACCTGATTAAGTATCTGTTACACTGTACTGTGTTGTTGTTTTTTGTTTTCTTTTTAACCTGATTAAGTATCTGTTACACTGTACTGTGTTGTTGTTTTTTGTTTTCTTTTTAACCTGATTAAGTATCTGTTACACTGTACTGTGTTGTTGTTTTTTGTTTTCTTTTTAACCTGATTAAGTATCTGTTACACTGTACTGTGTTGTTGTTTTTTGTTTTCTTTTTAAATATTTATTTTATTACCATTGGGAGAAGGCAGACCTCTGAACAACCTAACACATACAATAGAACCTCGACTTTCCGGCTCAGAATTACCTGGACTCCTTAAAAACTGGCCCATTTTGAAAAGGAAACAAATTTTGATAATGGAATAAAGAAAAACTATGTGGCTGTGATGATGTCAGTGCAGATGACATTACAGAATGGATGACCAGTGACCACCTTTATGGAATAACTGACAATAATGTTGTGGAAATGGTGACACAAGATGAAGTGATAGAGGAGGAGGTGGCATCCTTAGATGACCAGACAAATCTCATCCCACATTTGCTAGGATTCAAGTTTACTGAGATGGCACTGTTGTACGCTAGTGAGCAGCAGGGCGCCATGCTAGTTGACAGAATCTGCTAGTGTAAGTGAGGAAAGATTGTGTAAGTCAGGAAAGATTGTATAAGTGAGGACAGATTGTGTAAGTGAGGAAAGATTTAGTAAGTGAGGACAGATTGTATAAGTGAGGACAGATTGTGTAAGTGAGGAAAGATTGTGTAAGTGAGGAAAGATTGTGTAAGTGAGGAAAGATTGTGTAAGTGAGGACAGATTGTGTAAGTGAGGAAAGATTGTGTAAGTGAGGACAGATTGTGTGGAGACTGCCTGTAGCAGTCATCTATCAAGGACTTTTTTCATAAAAACTTAGTTTTGGCTCTTTCCTCTCAGGCTGAACTATTCCCATTTCTGCATTTATTTTTCAATTAACAGTTTTAAAAACAAAATTTGTAAGTAAGTGTACGTTTTAGATTGTTTTGTTCATTTTAAATGTGTGTGTATTCATACTGTATGTCTACAAACATGATTTGATTTTTTCTGGCAGTTAAGTTATACATTATACATTTTATCTTAAATTAAGAACAATATTTTTATTTTGGTCTTCCTTACTCTCCATGGTAAATGTTTAAAACAGACACTATAAAACATCAGAAACATTGATCAAGTTTTGGTCTGTACCAAGAGTTTGGAAAATGTGAACAAAAGTAGGTTTTAATATTAAAAAGTTTTTTTCTCTAACGTCATGGGTGGAATAGAAATCAAATATTGAAAGATTCTTGCATATCCAGCTTTCTGTTATCCACCGTACCATTTTGCTGGATATTGCAGTCACAATCTGGGTTGTCTGCGGCAGATCTCTAACACTCTCTGGACAGAATGTTAGATGGACCTGTATGCCCAATTCTTAACCTTTTGAAAAGTGTTATGTCTTTTAATATGGCCAAAATATTTCAGTTGTTTTGAGTTTTATTTCTTTCAGTAATTCTCTTTTCAATCTGTCCTTCCAGAACCTTCTGTATTTGTAGCCCCCCCCCCCCCCCCCCCCCCCCCCCCCCCCCCCCCCCCCCCCCCCCCCCCCCCCCCCCACCCCCATAAAATATAAATTATTTTTCTGCATTTCCACATTTCCATAGACTAAGTTCATTTTTCTAGCTGCTTATTCAGGTCCAAGCTTTTGCACTACATCAGGGTTGGATATACATAAGATTCTTTGTATATTCTAGTGTCGTCCAATCACAGTGACCGACAGAGAAACTGATGAAGATTTCATTCATGAATTTGACAGTGCCATGACCTGTGACTACCAATGGTTGACCACATCCAACATCAGGTACAGTGAGAAATCTGACCACAAAATTGGCTTTTACACAGTTGTTGGTCATTTCTTTTCATATTATAAATGTCTGACTGTTGCTACAGTTGTGATGTCAATAACTGGTTTTTGCTGCATTTGGGTTGTCCATAACTGGCTGTTGCCACATTTGGGTTGTCCATAACTGGTTGTTGCTACACATGGGTTGTCCATAACTGGCTGTTGTCACATTTGGGTTGTCCATAACTGGTTGTTGCTACACATGGGTTGTCCATAACTGGTTGTTGTCACATTTGGGTTGTCCATAACTGGCTGTTGCCACATTTGGGTTGTCCATAACTGGTTGTTGCTACACATGGGTTGTCCATAACTGGTTGTTGTCACATTTGGGTTGTCCATAACTGGCTGTTGCCACATTTGGGTTGTCCATAACTTGTTGTTGCCACACATGGGTTGTCCATAACTGTTGTTGTCACATTTGGGTTGCCCATAACTGGTTGTTGTCACATTTGGGTTGTCCATAACTGGTTGTTGCCACATTTGGGTTGTCCATAACTTGTTGTTGCTACAATTGGGTTGTCCATAACTGATTGTTGCCACATTTGGGTTGTCCATAACTGGTTGTTGTCACATTTGGGTTGTCCATAACTGGTTGTTGTCACATTTGGGTTGCCCATAACTAGTTGTTGCTACAATTGGAGATTTATCTGTTTGTGAATGTCCAGAATACACATTCAGAGTTACCATGTTTGTAAAGAGTTCAGATGACAACAGACAGATCATACAGATGACAACAGACAAAACATACAGATGAAAACACACAGAACGTACAGATGAGGACATACAGATGAGAAAACACTTGATACATTCATTTTATGCAGACAACAGTTCAGACTGGAAACATTTTATACAGACATTTCATTTCATACTGACAACATTTCATACCGAAAACATTTCATGCATAAAACATTTTATACAGATATTTCATACTGACATTTCATTCCGAAAACATTTCATGCATAAAACATTTCATGCAGACAACAGTTCATACAGGAATCATTTCATACTGACAACATTTCATACAGAAAACATTTCATACAGGAAACATTTCATTCATACAGACATTTTATACAGAAAACATTTCATACAGAAAACAGTTCATACAGGAAAAATTTCATCTAAACATTTCACACAGAAAACATTTCATACAGGAAAAATTTCACACCAACATTTTATACAAACAACAATTTCACATAGAAAACATTTCATGCAGAAAACTTCTCACAGAAAACATCTCACATGGACAAAATTTCATACACAAAACATTTTATACAGAAAATATTTTATTCAGAAAACAATTCACACAGACATTTCACACAGACATTTCTTGCAGAAAACATTTCATATGAAACACATTTTATGGTGAACTTTTTTTCAAACAGAACACATTTTGTACAGAAAACATTTCACGTGGAACACAATTCGTACAGAAAACATTTCATATGGAACACAATTCGTACAGAAAACATTTCATGTGGAGACTTTTTCTTTAAATAGTGAAATGATGCCAGGGGCAGTAACTCCTCTGACACTGAGCACTTTTGCATCTGCCATAGAGTACAGTTTACAGGTAAGATTTTATGGGTCATATTCAATCTCTCCACTTTATCCTGTCTTCTTACACCCCGAGTCCACTTTATCCTGTCTTCTTACACCCCGAGTCTACTTTATCCTGTCTTCTTACACCCCGAGTCCACTTTATCCTGTCTTCTTACACCCCGAGTCCACTTTATCCTGTCTTCTTACACCCCGAGTCCACTTTATCCTGTCTTCTTACACCCCGAGTCCACTTTTATCCTGTCTTCTTACACCCCGAGTCCACTTTATCCTGTCTTCTTACACACCCCGAGTCTACTTTATCCTGTCTTCTTACACCCCGAGTCCACTTTATCCTGTCTTCTTACACCCCGAGTCCACTTTATCCTGTCTTCTTACACCCCGAGTCCACTTTATCCTGTCTTCTTACACCCCGAGTCCACTTTATCCTGTCTTCTTACACCCCGAGTCCACTTTATCCTGTCTTCTTACACCCCGAGTCCACTTTATCCTGTCTTCTTACACCCCGAGTCCACTTTATCCTGTCTTCTTACACCCCGAGTCCACTTTATCCTGTCTTCTTACACCCCGAGTCCACTTTATCCTGTCTTCTTACACCCCGAGTCCACTTTATCCTGTCTTCTTACACCCCGAGTCCACTTTATCCTGTCTTCTTACACCCCGAGTCCACTTTATCCTGTCTTCTTACACCCGAGTCCACTTTATCCTGTCTTCTTACACCCCCGCGTCCACTTTATCCTGTCTTCTTACACCCCGCGTCCACTTTATCCTGTCTTCTTACACCCCGAGTCCACTTTATCCTGTCTTCTTACACCCCGAGTCCACTTTATCCTGTCTTCTTACACCCCGAGTCCACTTTATCCTGTCTTCTTACACCCCGAGTCCACTTTATCCTGTCTTCTTACACCCCGAGTCCACTTTATCCTGTCTTCTTACACCCCGAGTCCACTTTATCCTGTCTTCTTACACCCCAAGTCCACTTTATCCTGTCTTCTTACATATCTCAACCACTTTTACCCTGTCTCCTTATTTCTGTCTGCAGCCTACATTATTCTCTGTACCTTCTTACATTTCAGATCTACCATCCCTTTTCTATCTTCTCTTGTCCTCCCTGTCTCATCTACCTTAACTTGTCTATTTGATAACATCTGTTATCTTCCTTTCTCTATCTTGGTTTACTTTACTCTCTCCATTTTTTACATGCTTCCTTTACCTTCTACATTCACCATCTGTCCTCTCCACATGACATCTCTTATCTGACCCATATTGTAGCCAATCTTATATCTTTTGGGAAATTATTGTGCCTCCCTGACACCTGTCATCTACCTTAACTTGCCTCCTGTATTTTATATCCTTCATCTACAACATCCTCTACCAGCCTCCCTGACATCTGTCATCTACCTTAACTTGCCTCCTGTATTTTATATCCTTCATCTACAACATCCTCTACCAGCCTCCCTGACATCTGTCATCTACCTTAACTCGCCTCCTGTATTTTATATCTTCATCTACAACATCGTCCACCAGCCTCCCTGACACCTGTCATTTACCTTAACTTGCCTCCTGTATTTTATATCCTTCATCTACAACATCCTCTACCAGCCTCCCTGACATCTGTCATCTACCTTAACTTGCCTCCTGTATTTTATATCCTTCATCTACAACATCCTCTGCCAGCCTTACAGTTTCTCATGACTTACATGTCACCTCTACATATTGGTAATAGTACATATTACCCCACTATGATATCACACAAAACTGCCACCATGTGGATGAGGATCACCTGCGGAGAGGTACCGGAAACCGTGTTTAGCCAATCAGACCATATTTATGGCTATATTTATAGCTGGGCTATATTTATGGCTGGGCTATATTGCAGCCCCTGGCAAGAGCCAGGTTGGGGCTTCAAAATAACAAAAAGTGGATAATTAGTGTTACCTCTAGATATTCTCCTTCCCTGATTATATTTCTCAGCTGTCTTATCCTGCATCCCTGCTCACATCTTTCAGCTATCTTATCCAATCTCCTTTATCATATTTCTCACCTGCCTAATATTTCAACAGTTTCTACAGCTCATATCTACCTTAAGTTTCTGTCTATATCTCTCTTGTTTTTGTTTTTTTTCATCTCCCTTGTTACATCTCTCACCTAACTTATCTCCCTTATATCTCTGATCTACATTATCTCCCTTCTTACATCTCTCTTTTTATTTTTGCATCCTTCTTACATCTACCTTATTTCCCTTCCTGTATCTCTTGTTATTTTAAAATTATTGCTTCGGTAAAGTGGTTTTCTGTTGTGGTAATTAATTCTCTTTAATGAGCGGCTTATCTGAGTCATCATCATGTAGCAGGTCCTCTCATCACAGTCTGCCTGAAAGAAAATCGGTCTTTCTCCAGCTCTCCCACCTCATATACTTTCATACTAAAGGAGTCACTTATATCCTGTGCCCATATTCACGTCGATTGCCCCTTGCCCCTCCTTCCTGGTACCATGCCTTCTGCTATAATTTGTTCCAATCTGTTGTGGCGCTAGATATGCCCAAAGTATTTCAGCTTCTGAGACAGGATGCTGTTAATTAGCCAATCTTCCTTGATGTTCAGATCTTTTCTGATGTCAATATTTCTCATCTTCTTTGTCCAAAATATTCTGAGAATCTTTCTATAGCATTTCAGCTCAAAAGCCCTTATTCTCTTTCTTAAGGACTGGGAGATAGTCCACGACTCACATCCGTATGTAGCCACAGGGAAGATGTATGCTATCTGAGTTCTTATTTGAATCTCTTTGCTGGAGCTTTACCAGTTTGTTCTTAACTCTTATCGAAGTAGTAGTAATAATAATAATAATCAGAAGAAGAAAAAGAAGAACAAGAAAAGAAGCAGAAGCAAGAGCAGAAGTAGACAAAAACAAAGAAGAAGAAGAAGAAGAAGAAGAAGAAGGAGAAGAAAAGAGAATAAAGAAGACGATAAAAAGAAAAAGATGAAAAAGAGAATGACAAAAATAAAGATGAAGACAATGATATTTTAAAGTATCTATACATTGTGGAAGTGGGCAGGTATATTTTGTAGACTGATGACTGTGTTTGTGTCTGTCTACAGGTGCTGACTGTGTGTTGTGTTTGTGTCTGTCTACAGGTGCTGACTGTGTTTGTGTCTGCCTACAGGTGCTGACTGTGTGTTGTGTTTGTGTCTGTCTATAGGTGCAGACTGTGTTTGTGTCTGCCTACAGGTGCTGACTGTGTGTTGTGTTTGTGTCTGTCTACAGGTGCTGACTGTGTTTGTGTCTGCCTACAGGTGCTGACTGTGTGTTGTGTTTGTGTCTGCCTACAGGTGCTGACTGTATGTTGTGTTTGTGTCTGTCTACAGGTACTGACTGTGTGTTGTGTTTGTGTCTGTCTACAGGTACTGACTGTGTGTTGTGTATGTGTCTGCCTACAGGTGCTGACTGTGTGTTGTGTTTGTGTCTGTCTACAGGTACTGACTGTGTGTTGTGTTTGTGTCTGCCTACAGGTGCTGACTGTGTGTTGTGTTTGTGTCTGCCTACAGGTGCTGACTGTGTGTATGGGAGCCAGACAGCGAGCCACATACCTGCCCAAATGTTTGCCATCAAACTGCAACCATCATTTCATCTGCTTGCTTGTGAGTATGGGCTTTTTCTCAACATTTATAAATGTGTGTGTATATGTGAGACAGTCTGTGTGTATTTATGTCTATGACTTGGCCTGTATGTATATTAGTATGTAAATATAGACATGTTTTTGACATTTCCTTGTATACAACATTGCATGTATGTGTATGACACTGCCTGTGTGTATGTTTGACATTTCCTGTTTATATGCAAATATGTGACATGTTAACATATTATGCCTGTATATATGTATACGTTTGTAAGATTTTGTATATGTGTATTTGTGTGTTACATTGCCTCTGTGCTTGTGTGTGTGTATGTGCATGAGTCTAGCTGATGTCATTTGAGTTTTCCAATAGGATCTGAGCAGAATCATAATGATGACCATAATCTATCTCCTGACAAGATCTGAGCAAAATCTTTATGACCACCCTGTTTCTATCTCCTGCTGGATCTGAGCACAGTCTTTATGATAGCCTGTTCTATCTCCTGACAGGATTTGGGCACAATCTTCATGATAGCCTGTTCTATCTCCTGACAAGATCAGAGCACAATCTTCATGACACCCTGGATCTGAACACAATCTACATGACCACCCTGTTCTATCTCCTGACAGGATCTGAACACAATCTACATGAACACTCTGTTCTATCTCCTGACAGGATCTGAACACAATCTACGTGACCACCCTGTTCTATCTCCTGACAGGATCTGAGCACAATCATCATGACCACCCTGTTCTATTTCCTGACAGGATTTGAGCACAATCTTCATGAACACCCTGTTCTATCTCCTGACAAGATCTGAGCACAATCTTCATGACCACCCTGTTCTATTTCCTGACTGGATTTGAGCACAATCTTTATGACCACCCTGTTCTATCTCCTGACAGGATCTGAGCACAATCTTCATGACCACCCTGTTCTATCTCCTGACAGGATCTGAGCACAATCTTCATGACCACCCTGTTCATGCAGAAGGACTCCATGGAGATCAGCCTCCTGGGTGGTCTGCTGCCAGAGTTCACCGTCCAGCAGATAGAGAAATACTATGGAAGACCCAAAGCCTCACTGACACAGAAAATTCTAAATTTTATCAAAATGATCAAAGTGAGTGGCTCATTACTGGCCATGGTTTTGGTTTCTATGTTATTGTGTTTATAAATTGTTACATTTCATAAATTTGTTTGTTTAAAAATGCATACATATCAGTAATTATTTGTGTAAATGAATTCATATGAGTGAGTAACTATTTTGTTTATCAACTCATATGTCAGTAATTCGTTTTTTTAATGAATTTATACATGTCATCAATTATTTTTATGCGAATTAGTTAGTCGACAGATTATCCACATTGCACATTGGCTTAGATTCCCTCCTTAGTAAATCCCCCAGCGTGTAGCGGCTCTGGACACCAGTTCTGTGTTGGTTTCTCATTCTTCCTTGGCTTCCTGTATAGTGCTCTTGTCTAGCTACACCCCTTTTAACATGTTTTTCTTGCAGTCTGGTCATTGCTTCAGATTCACAGTCATCACTTGGTTCTCACAAACGTCTTACTTCTCTTAGAGCATTCAGAATATCAGCCTGGTCCAAGGCTCGTCCGTCCCTAACAGTAGCTTTACCTGCTATGTATAAGAATTCAATTCATGTAATTACCTCAGTAATTATCTTGTATATGAATTCATACATGTGAGTAATTCGTTTGTTTATGAATTCATGAGCATGAGTGGGATGAGCATGGTTTATTTCAGTGTCACTGAAACAATATCAAATTATGCCATACTTGTCGCGATAAGCGGCCAAAACAGAGAAGTATTTGGACTAGTTTATGGTACAGAGGTCTCAAATATTACACACATGATGAAGTGCAGAAAAGCAAACAACCACTCATCCGGCTGCCCGGCCACATACAACAGCAGCCAGCAGCCAACCCCCAAGTCCCCCACCCAGCCCACTTACCACACACACTCTGTCACACTTTTGCGTTGTGTGTTAATACTTCTAGTGAACTCTGGCCCAGCTCTGCCCATACAAACTAGGTCAGCTTTCATTGATACTTCATTAAAGTTGCTCAAGATTACATGGTTGTCCTGGTGTACTTTTTTGTTCAAAAAGTTTTTTTGTGCTGTCTTCACCGGCCAATGATATCGCGTGTTGTATATTCCAGGATGTTAGACTGTTTATGGACACAAAACATGCAGAACTGGCCCTAACACCAACCCCCTCTACGAGTGTGCAGCCTACTTATTCTCTTTTCAGATGAAAAACATAAATAGAAAATGCAGAAAACTGTTCAAGCAAACAGTACTGGGACACCCCAGTAACCTTGAGCACCATTGACAAGCCTGAGCAAGCACTAATGAAAAGTGAACAATGAAATGATCACATCATACCCATAGACTTCTCATAGACTACCTAGACAACTTGTACATGGAAGGTCAATACTATTGTTACCCGTAGGCTTCTCATAGACTAGCTAGACAACTTGTACATGAAAGGTCAATACTACTCTGTTACCCATAGACTTCTCATAGACTAGCTAGACAACTTGTACATGAAAGGTCAATACTACTCTGTTACCCGAAGACTTCTCATAGACTAGCTAGACAACTTGTACATGAAAGGTCAATACTACTCTGTTACCCGTAGACTTCTCATGGACTAGCTAGACAACTTGTACATGAAAGGTCAATACTACTCTGTTTGGGCCGCTTATCCAGACAGTACCAATTATGCCTAAAAAACAAACAAACAATTATTGCAGATACCAAATTACTATTGCATAGTGTAACACCAAAGCCCTGTGTATGTGTAAATATTTATGAACATCTATTTGTTTATAGTTAATATGTCTGTGAATACACGTATGTTTATAGTTAATATGTCTGTGAATACATGTATGTTTATAGTTAATATGTCTGTGAATACACATGTGTTTATAGTTATTTTATTTATGAATTCACATATGTTTATAGTTAATATGTCTGTGAATACACAGGTGTCTATAGTTATTTTATTTATGAATTCACATATGTTTATAGTTAATATGTCTGTGAATACACATGTGTCTATAGTTATTTTATTTATGAATTCACATATGTTTATAGTTAATATGTCTGTGAATACATGTGTGTCTATAGTTATTTTATTTATGAATTCACATATGTTTATAGTTAATATGTCTGTGAATACACATGTGTCTATAGATATTTTATTTATGAATTCACATATGTTTATAGTTAATATGTCTGTGAATACACATGTGTCTATAGTTATTTTATTTATGAATTCACATAAGTTTATAGTTAATATGTCTGTGAATACACATGTGTCTATAGTTATTTTATTTATGAATTCACATATGTTTATAGTTAATATGTCTGTGAATACACGTATGTTTATAGTTAATATGTCTGTGAATACACATGTGTCTATAGTTATTTTATTTATGTTCACATATGTTTATAGTTAATATGTCTGTGAATACACATGTGTCTATAGTTATTTTATTTATGAATTCACATATGTTTATAGTTAATATGTCTGTGAATACACGTATGTTTATAGTTAATATGTCTGTCAATACACATGTGTCTATAGTTATTTTATTTATGAATTCACATATGTTTATAGTTAATATGTCTGTGAATACATGTATGTTTATAGTTAATATGTCTGTGAATACACGTATGTTTATAGTTAATATGTCTGTGAATACATGTATGTTTATAGTTAATATGTCTGTGAATACACGTATGTTTATAGTTAATATGTCTGTGAATACACATGTGTCTATAGTTATTTTATTTATGAATTCACATATGTTTATAGTTAATATGTCTGTGAATACACATGTGTCTATAGTTATTTTATTTATGAATTCACATATGTTTATAGTTAATATGTCTATGAATACACATGTCTATAGTTATTTTATTTGTGAACTCACATATGTTTATAGTAATTTTATCTATTAATTTATAAATGAGTAGTTATTTTAGTTATGAATTTACATATGTATATAATTCAGTTGTGTAAGAATTCACATATGAATATATTTGTCTTAGTTTTGAATTAATATCTTTACATTTGTTTTCCACAGATTTCACATGTGTGTAATATTATTTTGTTGATCATTTAAATGTGTATAGTTATTCTATTTGAGATGTTTATGTGTAAATACTGATTTCTGTGCTGCAAGGGGCGATAAAATATCTGACAGAGTTATCTGTTTTGTCTTGCTAACAGATGTGGTACACAGCCAGCCGTGTGACAACCGAGTGGGAGCGGAAGATTCCCAGCTACACGGTTGGGCCAGGGTCAAACACCGCCGCAGATCTATATCAGTGTCTATGTGCCCAGCTGGCAGACTATGAGACTGTAAGTTTTCAGTGGCCAGGAATTTAACTCAGCAATGTACTGAGAGTTGTCTGACAGACAGTTGTGCTAGACTGACGGTTGTGCTAGACTTACGGTTGAGCAAGACAGACAGGTGTGCTAGGTAGACAGGTGAACTAGGAAGACAACTGTGCTAGACTGACAATTGTGCTGAACATACAGTTGTGCTAAACTGACAGTTGTGCTAAACTGACAGTTGTGCTAGACAGACAGTTGTGCTAAACTGACAGTTGTGCTAAACTGACAGTTGTGCTAGACAGACAGTTGTGCTAAACTGACAGTTGTGCTAGACAGACAGTTGTGCTAAACTGACAGTTGTGCTAAACTGACAGTTGTGCTAGACAGACAGTTGTGCTAAACTGACAGTTGTGCTAGACAGACAGTTGTGCTAAACTGACAGTTGTGCTAGACAGACAGTTGTGCTAAACTGACAGTTGTGCTAAGCTGACAGTTGTGCTAAGCTGACAGTTGTGCTAGATAGACAGTTCTCTAGACTGACAGTTGTGCTAGATGGATGTGCTAGATAGCTGCACTAGATAGACAGTTGTGCTAGACAGACAGTTGTGCTAGACTAACAGTTGTGCTAGACTGACAGTTGTGCTAGACTGACAGTTGTGCTAGACAGTCAGTTGTGCTAGACAGTCAGTTGTGCTAGACTGACAGTTGTGCTAGACTGACAGTTGTGCTAGACAGTCAGTTGTGCTAGACAGTCAGTTGTGCTAGACTGACAGTTGTGCTAGACTGACAGTTGTGCTAGACTGACAGTTGTGCTAGACTGACAGTTGTGCTAGACTAACAGTTGTGCTAGACAGACAGTTGTGCTAGACTGACAGTTGTGCTAGACTGACAGTTGTGCTAGACTGACAGTTGTGCTAGACTAACAGTTGTGCTAGACAAGACAGTTGTGCTAGACAGACAGTTGTGCTAGACTAACAGTTGTGCTAGACTAACAGTTGTGCTAGACTGACAGTTGTGCTAGACTAACAGTTGTGCTAGACTGACAGTTGTGCTGGACTAACAGTTGTGCTAGACTAACAGTTGTGTTAGACTAACAGTTGTGCTAGACTAACAGTTGTGCTAGACTAACAGTTGTGCTAGACAGACAGTTGTGCTAGACTGACAGTTGTGCTAGACTGACAGTTGTGCTAGACTAACAGTTGTGCTAGACTGACAGTTGTGCTAGACAGACAGTTGTGCTAGACTGACAGTTGTGCTAGACAGACAGTTGTGCTAGACTAACAGTTGTGCTAGACTAACAGTTGTGCTAGACTTACAGTTGTGTTAGACAGACAGTTGTGCTAGACAGACAGTTGTGCTAGACTAACAGTTGTGCTAGACTGACAGTTGTGCTAGACAGACAGTTGTGCTAGACAGACAGTTGTGTGAGACTGACAGTTGTGCTAGACAGTCAGTTGTGCTAGACTAACAGTTGTGCTAGACTAACAGTTGTGCTAGACAGACAGTTGTGCTAGACAGTCAGTTGTGTGAGACTGACAGTTGTGCTAGACTAACAGTTGTGCTAGACTAACAGTTGTGCTAGACTAACAGTTGTGCTAGACAGACATATGTGCTAGACTGACAGTTGTGCTAGACAGACAGTTGTGCTAGACAGACAGTTGTGCTAGACAGTCAGTTGTGCTAGACAGTCATTTGTGCTAGACAGTCAGTTGCGCTAGACAGTCAGTTGCGCTAGACTGACAGTTGTGCTAGACTGAGTTGTGCTAGACAGTCAGTTGTGCTAGACTGACAGTTGTGCTAGACTGACAGTTGTGCTAGACAGGCAGTTGTGCTAGACTGACAGTTGTGCTAGACTGACAGTTGTGCTAGACTGACAGTTGTGCTAGACTGACAGTTGTGTTAGACTGACAGTTGTGCTAGACAGTCAGTTGTGCTAGACAGACAGTTGTGCTAGACTGACAGTTGTGCTAGACAGTCAGTTGTGCTAGACTGACAGTTGTGCTAAACAGACAGTTGTGCTAGACTAACAGTTGTGCAAGACTAAAAGTTGTGCTAGATAGACAGTTCTCTAGACTGACAGTTGTGCTAAATGGATGTGCTAGATAGTTTCGCTAGACAGACAGTTCTGCTGTATAGACAGTTGTGCTAGACTAACAGTTGTGCTAGACAGACAGTTGTGCGAGACAGACAGTTGTGTTAGACTTACAGTTGTGTTAGACAGACAGTTGTGCTAGACAGACAGTTGTGCTAGACTGACAGTTGTGCTATACAGACAGTTGTGCTAGACAGACAGTTATGCTAGACAGACAGTTGTGCTAGACAGACAGTTGTGTGTGACTGACAGTTGTGCTAGACAGACAGTTGTGTGTGACTGACAGTTGTGTGTGACTGACAGTTGTGCTAGACAGACAGTTGTGCTAGACAGACAGTTGTGCTAGACAGACAGTTGTGCTAGACAGACAGTTGTGCTAGACAGATAGTTGTGCTAGACAGACAGTTGTGCGAGACTGACAGTTGTGCGAGACTGACAGTTGTGCGAGACTGACAGTTGTGCGAGACAGGCAGTTGTGCTAGACTGACAGTTGTGCTAGACTGACAGTTGTGCTAGACTGACAGTTGTGCTAGACTGACAGTTGTGTTAGACTGACAGTTGTGCTAGACAGTCAGTTGTGCTAGACAGACAGTTGTGCTAGACTGACAGTTGTGCTAGACAGTCAGTTGTGCTAGACTGACAGTTGTGCTAAACAGACAGTTGTGCTAGACTAACAGTTGTGCAAGACTAAAAGTTGTGCTAGATAGACAGTTCTCTAGACTGACAGTTGTGCTAAATGGATGTGCTAGATAGTTTCGCTAGACAGACAGTTCTGCTGTATAGACAGTTGTGCTAGACTAACAGTTGTGCTAGACAGACAGTTGTGCAAGACAGACAGTTGTGTTAGACTTACAGTTGTGTTAGACAGACAGTTGTGCTAGACAGACAGTTGTGCTAGACTGACAGTTGTGCTATACAGACAGTTGTGCTAGACAGACAGTTATGCTAGACAGACAGTTGTGCTAGACAGACAGTTGTGTGTGACTGACAGTTGTGCTAGACAGACAGTTGTGTGTGACTGACAGTTGTGTGTGACTGACAGTTGTGCTAGACAGACAGTTGTGCTAGACAGACAGTTGTGCTAGACAGACAGTTGTGCTAGACAGACAGTTGTGCTAGACAGATAGTTGTGCTAGACAGACAGTTGTGCGAGACTGACAGTTGTGCGAGACTGACAGTTGTGCGAGACTGACAGTTGTGCGAGACTGACAGTTGTGTGAGACAGACAGTTGTGCGAGACAGACAGTTGTGCGAGACAGACAGTTGTGCTGGACAAACAGTTGTGTGAGACTGACAGTTGTGTGAGACTGACAGTTGTCTGAGACTGACAGTTGTGCGAGACTGACAGCTGTGCGAGACTGACAGTTGTGCTAGACAGACAGTTGTGCTAGACTGACAGTTGTGCTAGACTGACAGTTGTGCAAGACAGACAGTTGTGCTAGACAGACAGTTGTGCTAGACTGACAGTTGTGCTAGACTGACAGTTGTGCTAGACAGACAGTTGTGCTAGACAGACAGTTGTGCTAGACAGACAGTTGTGTGTGACTGACAGTTGTGTGTGACTGACAGTTGTGTGGGACAGACAGTTGTGCTAGACAGACAGTTGTGCTAGACAGACAGTTGTGCTAGACAGACAGTTGTGCTAGACAGACAGTTGTGCTAGACAGACAGTTGTGCTAGACAGACAGTTGTGTGTGACTGACAGTTGTGCTAGACAGACAGTTGTGCTAGACAGACAGTTGTGCTAGTCAGACAGTTGTGCTAGACAAACAGTTGTGTGAGACTGACAGTTGTGTGAGACTGACAGTTGTGCTAGACAAACAGTTGTGTGAGACTGACAGTTGTGTGAGACTGACAGTTGTGAGAGAGTGACAGTTGTGCTAGACAGACAGTTGTGTGAGACTGACAGTTGTGCTAGACTGACAGTTGTGTGAGACTGACAGTTGTGCTAGACTGACAGTTGTGCGAGACAGACAGTTGTGCGAGACAGACAGTTGTGCGAGACAGACAGTTGTGCGAGACTGACAGTTGTGCTAGACTGACAGTTGTGCTAGACTGACAGTTGTGCTAGACAGACAGTTGTGCAAGACAGACAGTTGTGCAAGACAGACAGTTGTGTGAGACTGACAGTTGTGTGAGACTGACAGTTGTGCTAAACTGACCAAGTGCCTCGCTGACTGGCCTGGATAGTCATGTTTCTCCACAGTCTTCCACAACCAATTCCTTCAGATATGTGTAGCTATAATGTTTTCATAGGAAAATAGCTGAAGCCCTAACAGAGAAATAAATGCAGTGCTGATGTCCTTACCTGGGAACACCTGATATTCTTACATGGAAACACCTGATGTGCTGACCTGGAGATGCCTGCAGCCCCTGATCCTTACCTAGGAATGCCTTATATCCTCACATGGAAAGATCTGCTGCCCTGATATATTCACCTGGAAACACCCTGTGATAGATGTTCACCTTTGGTGACTAGAAGAGATCCTTGACCCTTACTGTAAATCTGTGAATGTGTCGGCAGGTCTGGGTGTGGACGCTGATCAACAGTGGACGGTCTGGGAATATCACCACAGTGTTGATGTCCATCATTGGTGGAGAACCAAGTGGTAGGTACCCACCCTCACACTTCTTCTGTGTTTGCCTGTAAAATTGTGGTTACTGCATTGCTGTTAGTTACTTAGTTAGTTAATCTATAGATTATACTCATTCAGTCTATAAGTGTGCAGATCCCCACCCTCAGTAAATCCTGCAGCGTATGTCAACTGGTGCTCTCCAATGGTAGAGGGAAGAATACATTGCCTCTCTAGAAGGCACGATATTTTTCCAGCAATTATCTTCTCTAACAACTTACCTATAGTATTTTGCGTAGTAATTGACTTAAAACCTTGAATTTGTATGAGGTCTTTGCCAAGCTTCGGCAGATGTAAAGGTAGCTGTGTAGCCACTCCTCATTAAAATTATCACTTGCTATATTGTTTTACAAATTTGCTAGTTTCTCCAACTCATCTTCAGTACAACAACCAATTTGTTTCTATCAACCCAACATATCTGACTAAAGCAAACCCTTAAACAGTCACCTTTCACAAAATGGTATTCAAAGGGTGCTTCCTTTTTTTTTCCTTCCCTCCTAACTGAGAGTTTGCAACCCACATGGGAAACTATCACACTAACCTTAACTCAATTCAGTAACAGTTGGAGAGTCTGAAAGTATTAAAAATGTAATTCATATCTGTCTGGGTTGAAGTGCCACCTGAACAGTCAGACTTGTGTAGGGTCATAATCACGCTGAGCCGGGAATGCAGAGACAGGCCAGCAGGTGCCATGAAGGTGGAAATTCAGCAATTAATTCAAGATAATGCTCGCTCAGAGGATTTGATCATTTACACAGACGGTTCAGTGTCAAGAGGCAAAAGAAGTGTTTGGGGCTTGTTAGCAAATTTTAATGGTCGACGTTTGGTGCAAGAGAGCCTAGCATATGATACCACAACATCCAGCTTAAGAATGGAGGTGGAGGTGGTCACTGCAGCTTTCCGCTGGCTAGAGAACATGACACACACACATTGTAATTGTAACTGATTTAGAAAGCATGCTGAGGAAGATCAGAACAGGTATGCTTCGTGCAGAGTGGCTTGCTTAGCTGCGGAGGATATGTGTGAGGAGTATTGTCTGGATTGTTTTACCGGGCACGCCAGTGTGTTGGGAAATGAACAGATGGACAGACTGGCTGGCTCTGCACATCTTGGTGGAATACTGATAATTGATAAGGCAGACGTGGTTAGTGCCTTGTGGGAGAGCGTGTACAGTTCGGAGGAGCAGATGGATCACCACAGTCTGGTGAGATTGATGCAGCTGGGAGTGATGAGAGGTTCTGGCAGATGCTCGAGGCTCAGAGGAGAGGCAAGACGGACGTTTAATCAGAATGCTACTGGCACCATTAGTATCGGAACCCTTCGCTGGCTGCTGAAGATGGGGGACGGAACATTTATGGGAATGCTCCAAGTGCTATGATGTCGGTTCTTGAATGAAATCAAATCAAATCATTTCCATCTTCTTCTTCATAATCCCGGCCTCCAGCCAGGAGACTGAGCACCTTTGGGTATGCCCTATGTTCTAACTTTCATCCTGATCTCTACTCTGTCTGACTATGCTCTGTCTCAACCTCAGTCTAAACTCTAACCCTCATTTTAACCTTTAACCACAATTTGACCTTAACTGTTAGTTTGAACTCCTAAGATTAGACCATACAACAACCATTGATGTGGTTGCCTGTACTGTATGAAAGTTTTGGCAACACCAGTGGCATTTCATTGGCTGCTCCTGATGAACCGCTTCAAAGCCCACAAGACAGGACATAAAAATCAAGGTCTTTTTCCAGACTTTTAATTGAATTTTCCCAGGCAGATGTTTTCATAATATTTTCTTACAAAGTATCATGTGAACAATTAACTACCATAAATGGTAACATTTCAGTTGAGGTTTTAAACAAGGGGTTAACTTCACCAGGTTGACTTGTGCACCAGGTTGACTTGCACTGCAAACCTAGTCGATTTGTACACCTGTTGGATTTATACACCTGTTCAACTTGTACACCAGTTTGATTTGTACACCAAGTTGACTTGTGCACTAGGTTGACTTGTACACCAGTTTGATTTGTACACCAAGTTGACTTGTGCACTAGATTGACTTGTACACCAGTTCAATTTGTACACCAAGTTGACTTGTGCACTAGGTTGACTTGTACACCAGTTTGATTTGTACACCAAGTTGACTTGTGCACTAGATTGACTTGTACACCAGTTCAATTTATACACCAAGTTGACTTGTGCACTAGGTTGACTTGTGCACCTGTTACATTTATTCACCAGTTCCATTTGTACACCATGTTGACTTTAAACCAGGTTGACTTGTACACCAGGTTGAATTGTACACCAGGAGAATTTGCACGCTAGGGTCAACTTTACACTAGGTCGACTTGTACACTAGGTTAACTTGTACACCTGTTTGATTTGTACACCTGTTTGATCTGTACACCTGTACAATTTACACACCACTTCAATTTGTACACCTGTTCGATTTGCATGCCAGCTCCATTTGCACAACTGTTTGATTTGTACACCAGTTTGAATTGTACACCTTTTTTATTTGTACACCAGTTTGATTTGTACACCTGTTTGATTTGTACACAAGGTTGACTTCACACCAGTTTTACTTGTACACCTGTTCATTTTGCACACCTGTTTGATTTGCACACCAGTTTGTAATATACCATATTATTCATGTGTGCATAGGAAGATAATGTAGTATACCATCTGATTCAGGTGTGCATAGGAAGATAATATAGTATACCATCTGATTCAGGTGTGCATAGGAAGATGATGTAGTATACCATATGATTCAGGTGTGCATAGGAATATAATGTAGTATACCATATGATTCATGTGTGCATAGGAAGATGATGTAGTATACCATATGATTCAGGTGTGCATAGGAATATAATGTAGTATACCATATGATTCATGTGTGCATAGGAAGATGATGTAGTATACCATATGATTCATTTGTGCATAGGAAGATAATGTAGTATACCATATGATTCATGTGTGCATAGGAAGATAATGTAGTATACCATATGATTCATGTGTGCATAGGAAGATAATGTAGTATACCATATGATTCAGGTGTGCATAGGAAGATGATGTAGTATACCATATGATTCATGTGTGCATAGGAAGATGATGTAGTATACCATCTGATTCATGTGTACATAGGAAGATAATCAGAACTGTAGTTATTGCTGGAGTCAGCAGATTTCTTTAATAAAAATAGCAGGCGATGTGGCCATTGCGACCCTTGCTTCTTGCCAGATCATTCTTGTATAGTATGGTTTTGTTGTTTGTTAACAGGATGGACAAGTGATCATTATGGTGACCTGACCTTGTTGCTATCCAAATGTCAGGGGGTTTACAGTGCTGAAGTTCCTCATGCCATGGAGGTGAGTGATTTCTTCTGTTACTTCTTAGTCTATGCCATGGAGGTGTCTTGCTTCTTAGAGGTGAGTGATTTTTTGGAGGTGAGTGATTTCTTGGAGGTGAGTGATTTCTTGGAGGTGAGTGGTTTCTTCTGATACTTCTTACAGTCTATGCCATGGAGGTGAGTGATTTCTTGGAGGTGAGTGATTTCTTCTGATACTTCTTACAGTCTATGCCATGGAGATGAGTGGTTTCTTCTGTTACTTCTTACAGTCTATGCCATGGAGATGAGTGGTTTCTTCTGTTACTTCTTACAGTCTATGCCATGGAGATGAATGGTTTCTTCTGTTACTTCTTACAGTCTATTCCATGGAGATGAGTGGTTTCTTCTGTTACTTCTTACAGTCTATGCCATGGAGGTGAGTGGTTTCTTCTGTTACTTCTTACAGTCTATGCCATGGAGGTGAGTGGTTTCTTCTGTTACTTCTTACAGTCTATGCCATGGAGGTGAGTGATTTCTTCTGTTACTTCTTACAGTCTATGCCATGGAGGTGAGTGATTTCTTCTGTTACTTCTTACAGTCTATGCCATGGAGGTGAGTGATTTCTTTTGTTACTTCTTACAGTCTATGCCATGGAGGTGAGTGATTTCTTCTGTTACTTCTTACAGTCTATGCCATGGAGGTGAGTGATTTCTTCTGTTACTTCTTACAGTCTATGCCATGGAGATAAGTGGTTTCTTCTGTTACTTCTTACAGTCTATGCCATGGAGATGAGTGATTTCTTCTGTTACTTCTTACAGTCTATACCATGGAGATGAGTGATTTCTTCTGTTACTTCTTACAGTCTATGCCATAGAGTTGTGTGGTTTCTTCTGTTACTTCTTACAGTCTATGCCATGAAGATGAGTGATTTCTTCTGTTACTTCTTACAGTCTATGCCATGGAGGTGACTGGTTTCTTCTATTACTTCTTACAGTCTATGCCATGGAGATGAGTGATTTCTTCTGTTACTTCTTACAGTCTATGCCATGGAGATGAGTGATTTCTTCTGTTACTTCTTACAGTCTATGCCATGGAGGTGTGTGATTTATTCTGTTACTTCTTACAGTCTATGCCATGGAGGTGAGTGATTTATTCTGTTACTTCTTACAGTCTATGCCATGGAGGTGAGTGATTTATTCTGTTACTTCTTACAGTCTATGCCATGGAGGTGTGTGATTTATTCTGTTACTTCTTACAGTCTATGCCATGGAGGTGAGTGATTTATTCTGTTTTCTTCTTACAGTCTATGCCATGGAGGGGAGTGATTTCTTCTGTTACTTCTTACAGTCTATGCCATGGAGGTGTGTGGTTTCTTCTGTTACTTCTTACAGTCTATGCCATGGAGGTGTGTTATTTATTTTGTTACTTCTTACAGTCTATGCCATGGAGGTGAGTGATTTCTTCTGTTACTTCTTACAGTCTATGCCATGGAGATGAGTGATTTCTTCTGTTACTTCTTACAGTCTATGCCATGGAGGTGACTGGTTTCTTCTGTTACTTCTTACAGTCTATGCCATGGAGGTGAGTGATTTCTTCTGTTACTTCTTACAGTGTATACCATGGAGGTGAGTGGTTTCTTCTGTTACTTCTTACAGTGTATACCATAGAGGTGAGTGGTTTCTTCTGTTACTTCTTACAGTGTATACCATGGAGGTGAGTGATTTCTTGGAGGTGAGTGATTTCTTGGAAGTGAGTGATTTCTTGGAGGTGAGTGATTTCTTGGAGGTGAGTGATTTCTTGGAGGTGAGTGATTTCTTCTGTTACTTCTTACAATCTATGCCATGGAGGTGAGTGATTTCTTGGAGGTGAGTGATTTCTTGGAGGTGAGTGATTTCTTGGAGGTGAGTGATTTCTTCTGTTACTTCTTACAGTTTATGCCATGGAGGTGAGTGGTTTCTTCTGTTACTTCTTACAGTCTATGCCATGGAGGTGAGTGATTTCTTCTGTTACTTCTTACAGTCTATGCCATGGAGGTGAGTGATTTTTTGGAGGTGAGTGATTTCTTCTGTTACTTCTTACAGTCTATGCCATGGAGGTGAGTGATTTCTTCTGTTACTTCTTACAGTCTATGCCATGGAGGTGAGTGATTTCTTGGAGGTGAGTGATTTCTTGGAGGTGAGTGATTTCTTCTGTTACTTCTTACAGTCTATGCCATGGAGGTGAGTGATTTCTTCTGTTACTTCTTACAGTCTATGCCATGGAGATGAGTGATTTCTTCTGTTACTTCTTACAGTCTATGCCATGGAGGTGAGTGATTTCTTCTGTTACTTCTTACAGTCTATGCCATGGAGGTGAGTGATTTCTTCTGTTACTTCTTAGTCTATGCCATGGAGGTGAGTGATTTCTTCTGTTACTTCTTACAGTTTATGCCATGGAGGTGAGTGGTTTCTTCTGTTACTTCTTACAGTTTATGCCATGGAGGTGAGTGGTTTCTTCTGTTACTTCTTACAGTCTATGCCATGGAGGTGAGTGATTTCTTCTGTTACTTCTTACAGTCTATGCCATGGAGGTGAGTGATTTCTTGGCGGTGAGTGATTTCTTCTGTTACTTCTTACAGTCTATGCCATGGAGGTGAGTGATTTCTTCTGTTACTTCTTACAGTCTATGCCATGGAGGTGAGTGATTTCTTGGAGGTGAGTGATTTCTTGGAGGTGAGTGATTTCTTCTGTTACTTCTTACAGTCTATGCCATGGAGGTGAGTGATTTCTTCTGTTACTTCTTACAGTCTATGCCATGGAGATGAGTGATTTCTTCTGTTACTTCTTACAGTCTATGCCATGGAGGTGAGTGATTTCTTCTGTTACTTCTTACAGTCTATGCCATGGAGGTGAGTGATTTCTTGGAGGTGAGTGATTTCTTCTGTTACTTCTTACAGTCTATGCCATGGAGATGAGTGATTTCTTCTGTTACTTCTTACAGTCTATGCCATGGAGGTGAGTGATTTCTTCTGTTACTTCTTACAGTCCATGCCATGGAGATGAGTGATTTCTTCTGTTACTTCTTACAGTCTATGCCATGGAGGTGAGTGATTTCTTTTGTTACTTCTTACAGTCTATGCCATGGAGGTGAGTAATTTCTTTTGTTACTTCTTACAGTCTATGCCATGGAGGTGACTGGTTTCTTCTGTTACTTCTTACAGTCTATGCCATGGAGGTGAGTGATTTCTTCTGTTACTTCTTACAGTCTATGCCATGGAGGTGAGTGATTTCTTCTGTTACTTCTTACAGTCTATGCCATGGAGGTGAGTAGTTTCTTCTTTAAACCACATGTCGGGAAAGTCTAACCCTGGTACACTGAGAACTGTGAAATGGGCTCACCAGTTTCTAAACAAAGGAGCCGCAATACTTGGTGTTTTAAATTAAGACTGGGGTAGTATTACTGTCTGATGTATGGTGTTTTTGCCATGTTCTTCTTCTTCACTCCCTAATACCACTTCAGATTTCAAGGGAAATTTAAGGTTTTGGCTCCTGTTTTTCCTGGCTCACTCAAAAATGGACGCATGCCACAGCTATAGAGTTTCTCTGATGTTATCTGGCCATCTTGTTCTTGGGCTACCTCAGTTTTGTCAAGCTGACTGTGTTATGTTTATGGATTTTACTGTCACAAAAGTGACCGAGTTCTGTTGACTGTTGGTTTTTGTTGAAGCATTCAAGTGGCATGTTGGGTTTTGTTGACTGTTGGTTTTTGCTGAAGCATACAAGTGGCGTGATGGGTTATGTTGACTGTTGGTTTTTGCTGAAGCATACAAGTGGCATGATGGGTTCTGTTGACTGTTGGTTTTTGCTGAAGCATTCAAGTGGCATGATGGGTTATGTTGACTGTTGGTTTTTTGTTGAAGCATTCAAGTGGCATGATGGGTTCTGTTGACTGTTGGTTTTTGCTGAAGCATTCAAGTGGCATGATGGGTTATGTTGACTGTTGGTTTTTGTTGAAGCATACAAGTGGCATGATGGGTTGTGTTGACTGTTGGTTTTTGCTGAAGCATACAAGTGGCATGATGGGTTGTGTTGACTGTTGGTTTTTGTTGAAGCATACAAGTGACATGATGGGTTGTGTTGACTGTTGGTTTTTGCTGAAGCATACAAGTGGCATGATGGGTTGTGTTGACTGTTGGTTTTTGCTGAATCATACAAGTGGCATGATGGGTTATGTTGATTTACAGTTGGATCATGGTGGTGTCTTTTTCTTCAATGATTTGTGCCTGTCTGAGTGTCAATGATTTGTGCCTGTCTGAGTGTCAATGATTTGTACCTGTCTGACTGTCAATGATTTGGGCCTGTCTGAGTGTCAATGATTTGTGCCTGTCTGAGTGTCAATGACTTGTGCCTGTCTGAGTGTCAATGATTTGTGCCTGTCTGAGTGTCAATGATTTGTGTCTATCTGAGTGTCAATGATTTATGCCTATCTGAGTGTCAATGATTTATGCCTATCTGAGTGTCAATGATTTGTGCCTATCTGAGTGTCAATGATTTGTGCCTATCTGAGTGATTGTTTATACCGGGCAACTTGCTTCTCTTTTCTTTAGAACTGTTCACATTGGAACTGACTGACTGACTGACTGACTGACTGACTGACATGTGGGAAAATCATCTCTATAGAGGTTACAGAAACGGATGTCTTCTTCTGCTGGACTCAAATACCTCAGTGTCTGCTGGACTCAAATACCTCAGTGTCTGCTGGACTCAAATACCTCAGTGTCTGCTGGACTCAAATACCTCAGTGTCTGCTGGACTCAAATACTTCAGTGTCTGTTGTGAAGAAATGAAAGTTAAACTCTAGTGGGAGGATGGTTAATTGTGGTCAGTTTTCAGCAGCCATCATGTCCATGATCATCTAAGTGCAATTATTTGTCATTTCAGAATATTGCCAGAGAAATTGTGAAAACTGGTATTCAGTTCACAGAAACATTTCTCTCAACATCAAATGAGGTATGAAGCTGTCACATATGTCATGAGTGATGCCCTGTATACATATGTGGTGTAATCTGTGGTTTTGTGTGTACATATGTGATGTAATATGCACATATATGATGTTATCTGTACATATGTGATGTCATGCATCATCTATACATGAGTCATTTGCCCATCTGTAATGTTATATATCCACATATATTGTCATGTGTACATCTGTGATTGTCAAGTGTACATCTATTATGTCATGTTTACATTTGTTGTGTCATGTGTGGTATCAGTTGTACATCTGCAGTGTTATGTGTACATTTTTCTCATGTTGGGAGAGTTGACTTCATTGCAATAGGTGTTAACCCATACAGCTCTGTCTGTCTGTCTGTCTGTCTGTCTGTCTGTCTGTCTGTCTCTCTCTCCCTCTCTCTCTCTCTCTCTCTCTCTCTCTCTCTCTCTCACACACACACACAGTTGCTGGCTGCCTGCCAAGAGCACTGCACAAAGCACAAACCACATAGCTCCTGTAACAATCTCCAGGGATGTCTGTAAATATTTCACTTATAACCAAATGGCACAAACAAGAAATAAACCCACAGCTTTGAAAGTGCAAGGTAAAGGTTTAACTACTTGACCACAGAGTTCCTTTGTAAGTTTACTTACATACAGAGCTAGTCAGAAATATGGCTGCCAATTATTTCTGTATGTGTGTTTCCGAAAACAGATAGTTACTTTTCACATCGGTGTCGATTACGCCTTGGTGTGAACGGGAGTATTTTGTGATAGGTGACTTGGTTGTGTAGTGTTGTGTGTATTGTTAGCCTGATTAATTACCTTTCAGAGGTCTCATTTCTGTAGTCACAACTATCATATTTTAAAATATGTGCAGAGAAACATATAGCCATATTTTTATATATTCTTCTTTTTCCCATCTTCTTAACATTGACCGGCTGTAAACTCCAGCGGAAAGTTCAGGCTCTTTCTCCACTTCTGAGCTCTAGTCTTCTTCCAAAGTTTGAATTTTGTGAGCACACTTGTTTTACAGATCTGGCTTATTTGTATGTAGAATGTTGGTTCCTCATTACTCAAGCAGATTCCTTCAGACTTCGGCACTCAAGCAGATTCCTTCAGACTTCGGCACTCAAGCAGATTCCTTCAGACTTCGGCACTCAAGCAGATTCCTTCAGACTTCAAAGGGGAAATCCTTTTTTAGTCACCGTTCACAAAATGCTAGAGAGGAAGTTGGTCCATTCTTATGTCTCCCCCCCCCCCCCCCCCCGTACTGGGAGCCTAGAACCTGCACAAGGAATATTCATTCATTCATTCATTCATTCATTCATTCATTCATTCATTCATTCATTCATTCATTCATTCATTCAAAGAAATATTTCCTAATAATTTAGTCAGTCCATTTTTTTCAGGACTGCCTGAAACTTCTGAGACAACAACCGAACATTGAGAAGTTGGTCAATGATTTTCTAGACCGCCATGGACACAGATGTCTACGAGAGGTGATGTTTTGCTGAGGCTTGTACTCCGTCCTTTGCTTTGCTGATAGATTTGTTTCTAGCTTTTGATTTTATTCAGGGTTTTTTTTAAATATAATAGTAATAATGAAAATAATAATAATGCTAACTTCAACAACAACAAAATGATTTTGGTGATAACAATAAATTAATAGAAGGAAAAAATTATAATGATGACTTTTGTAGACATTACTATTGTGATTACTGTCATAATTACTGACTTGATTACTTTCTGTCGTAACTGATTACTTACTTTTATGATTACTGTTATGATTACTGTGATTTTCATGATGTTCTAAATTCTTTTGCCAGGCTGAACTACGAGAAAAATCCTGGCGCTCTGCTCCAGAAAAGTTTATTTCTGCTTTGAAGGTAAAATATTAATCTTATTTGTTTGTGACTTTGTTGGTATTACTGGATCTACCTACTGGGAGAAGTTGATTTATGGGCAACAGCAATAAAGAAATTGATGTATGATCAGCAGCCTGCTGGGAGAAGTTGATTTATGGGCAACAGCAATAAAGAAATTGATGTATGATCAGCAGCCTGCTGGGAGAAGTTGATTTATGAGCAACAGCAATAAAGAAATTGATGTATTATCAACAGCCTGCTGGGAGAAGTTGATTTATGAGCAACAGCAATAAAGAAATTGATGTATGATCAACAGCCTGCTGGGAGAAGTTGATTTATGAGCAACAGCAATAAAGAAATTGATGTATGATCAACAGCCTGCTGGGAGAAGTTGATTTATGAGCAACAGCAATAAAGAAATTGATGTATGATCAACAGCCTGCTGGGAGAAGTTGATTTATGAGCAACAGCAATAAAGAAATTGATGTATGATCAACAGCCTGCTGGGAGAAGTTGATTTATGAGCAACAGCAATAAAGAAATTGATGTATGATCAACAGCCTGCTGGGAGAGGTTGCTGCATAATCTAACTACTGGGAGAAGTTGGGTGAGAACATTCACAAGGATATTTATAGGCAATGAGAATATGTCACAGATACAGGATGCAAATGACACACCTGCGAGAGAATATAGAACATTACTGGACTTGTCTGACAGAGAGAATATCAGACATTACTGGACTTGTCTAACAGAGAGAATATCAGACATTACTGGACTTGTCTAACAGAGAGAATATCAGACATTACTGGACTTGTCTAACAGAGAGAATATCAGACATTACTGGACTTGTCTAACAGAGAGAATATCAGACATTACTGGACTTGTCTAACAGAGAGAATATCGGACATTACTGGACTTGTCTATGAGAGAGAATATTAGACATTACTGGACTTGTCTAACAGAGAGAATATCGGACTTTACTGGACTTGTCTGACAGAGAGAATATCAGACTTTACTGGACTTGTCTAACAGAGAGAATATCAGACATTACTGGACTTGCCTAACAGAGAGAATATCAGACATTACTGGACTTGTCTATGAGAGAGAATATCAGACATTACTGGACTTGTCTGACAGAGAGAATATCAGACATTACTGGACTTGTCTGACAGAGAGAATATCAGACATTACTGGACTTGTCTGACAGAGAGAATATCAGACATTACTGGACTTGTCTAACAGAGAGAATATCAGACATTACTGGACTTGTCTAACAGAGAGAATATCAGACATTACTGGACTTGTCTAACAGAGAGAATATCAGACATTACTGGACTTGTCTAACAGAGAGAATATCAGACATTACTGGACTTGTCTAACAGAGAGAATATCAGACATTACTGGACTTGTCTAACAGAGAGAATATCAGACATTACTGGACTTGTCTAACAGAGAGAATATCAGACATTACTGGACTTGTCTAACAGAGAGAATATCGGACATTACTGGACTTGTCTATGAGAGAGAATATCAGACATTACTGGACTTGTCTAACAGAGAGAATATCGGACTTTACTGGACTTGTCTGACAGAGAGAATATCAGACTTTACTGGACTTGTCTAACAGAGAGAATATCAGACATTACTGGACTTGCCTAACAGAGAGAATATCAGACATTACTGGACTGGTCTATGAGAGAGAATATCAGACATTACTGGACTTGTCTGACAGAAAGAATATCAGATATTACTGGACTTGTCTGACAGAGAAAATATCGGACATTACTGGACTTGTATGACACAGAAAATATCAGACATTACTGGACTTGTCTGACAGAGAGAATATCGGACTTTACTGGACTTGTCTGACAGAGAGAATATCAGACTTTACTGGACTTGTCTGACAGAGAGAATATCAGACATTACTGGACTTGTCTGACAGAGAGAATATCAGACATTACTGAACCTGTCTGACAGAGAGAATATCAGACTTTACTGGACTTGTCTGACAGACAAATCCAATTCATCAAAAGATTTTGCATCATCACAGCTGAGCAAACACTTAGTTTTCAATAAGCCTTGAAATAATCACACAATTTTACATTGTGCCAATTCTTCACTGTTTGAAAATAATGTTTGTTTTTTTATTCCTTTATTCATTCCGCATGCTGTAAATGAATCAGTTATGAAGATTGTCTCCTATAAACCAGACTATACTGAAGACAAAATCATATGAAGAAAAGCCCCAGAAGAATCAGATGTCTGTCGGGGAGATACTGAACAACATGAAGACCAAACTTCCATCTCACAAGAGGTAAGGGCTTCTTGCACAGTGTCTCAGACACTTTATACTATGACCCACCACTTCCTGTCTTAGATCAAGTGTGTTGCTCTGGTACATAATGTTGTATGTATTAATATATGTTCTAACTAGTAGCTTCAGGAATACACTTGTGGTGTCACTAGTAACTTCAGGAATACACTTGTGAGGTCACTAGTAACTTCAGGAATACACTTGTGAGGTCACTAGTAACTTCAGGAATACACTTGTGAGGTCACTAGTAACTTCAGGAATACACTTGTGAGGTCACTAGTAGCTTCAGGAATACACTTGTGAGGTCACTAGTAGCTTCAGGAATACACTTGTGGGGTCACTAGTAGCTTCAGGAATACACTTGTGGGGTCACTAGTAGCTTCAGGAATACACTTGTGAGGTCACTAGTAGCTTCAGGAATACACTTGTGAGGTCACTAGTAGCTTCAGGAATACACTTGTGAGGTCACTAGTAGCTTCAGGAATACACTTGTGAGGTCACTAGTAGCTTCAGGAATACACTTGTGAGGTCACTAGTAGCTTCAGGAATACACTTGTGAGGTCACTAGTAGCTTCAGGAATACACTTGTGAGGTCACTAGTAGCTTCAGGAATACACTTGTGGTGTCACTAGTAGCTTCAGGAATACACTTGTGAGGTCATAAGTAGCTTCAGGAATACACTTGTGAGGTCATAAGTAGCTTCAGGAATACACTTGTGAGGTCATTAGTAGCTTCAGGAATACACTTGTGAGGTCACTAGTAGCTTCAGGAATACACTTGTGAGGTCACTAGTAGCTTCAGGAATACACTTGTGAGGTCACTAGTAGCTTCAGGAATACACTTGTGAGGTCACTAGTAGCTTCAGGAATACACTTTGTGAGGTCACTAGTAGCTTCAGGAATACACTTGTGAGGTCACTTGTAGTAGCTTCAGGAATACACTTGTGAGGTCACTAGTAGCTTCAGGAATACACTTGTGAGGTCACTAGTAGCTTCAGGAATACACTTGTGAGGTCACTAGTAGCTTCAGGAATACACTTGTGAGGTCACTAGTAGCTTCAGGAATACACTTGTGAGGTCACTAGTAGCTTCAGGAATACACTTGTGAGGTCACTAGTAGCTTCAGGAATACACTTGTGAGGTCACTAGTAGCTTCAGGAATACACTTGTGAGGTCACTAGTAGCTTCAGGAATACACTTGTGTGGGTCACTAGTAGCTTCAGGAATACACTTGTGAGGTCACTAGTAGCTTCAGGAATACACTTGTGAGGTCACTAGTAGCTTCAGGAATACACTTGTGAGGTCACTAGTAGCTTCAGGAATACACTTGTGGTGTCACTAGTAGCTTCAGGAATACACTTGTGAGGTCACTAGTAGCTTCAGGAATACACTTGTGAGGTCACTAGTAGCTTCAGGAATACACTTGTGAGGTCACTAGTAGCTTCAGGAATACACTTGTGAGGTCACTAGTAGCTTCAGGAATACACTTGTGAGGTCACTAGTAGCTTCAGGAATACACTTGTGAGGTCACTAGTAGCTTCAGGAATACACTTGTGAGGTCACTAGTAGCTTCAGGAATACACTTGTGAGGTCACTAGTAGCTTCAGGAATACACTTGTGAGGTCACTAGTAGCTTCAGGAATACACTTGTGGTGTCACTAGTAGCTTCAGGAATACACTTGTGAGGTCACTAGTAGCTTCAGGAATACACTTGTGGAGGTCACTAGTAGCTTCAGGAATACACTTGTGAGGTCACTAGTAGCTTCAGGAATACACTTGTTAGTAGCTTCAGGAATACACTTGTGAGGTCACTAGTAGCTTCAGGAATACACTTGTGAGGTCACTAGTAGCTTCAGGAATACACTTGTGAGGTCACTAGTAGCTTCAGGAATACACTTGTGAGGTCACTAGTAGCTTCAGGAATACACTTGTGTCACTAGGTCATACTACTTGTGAGGTCACTAGTAGCTTCAGGAATACACTTGTGAGGTCACTAGTAGCTTCAGGAATACACTTGTGAGGAGGTCACTAGTAGCTTCAGGAATACACTTGTGAGGTCACTAGTAGCTTCAGGAATACACTTGTGAGGTCACTAGTAGCTTCAGGAATACACTTGTGAGGTCACTAGTAGCTTCAGGAATACACTTGTGAGGTACACTTAGTGAATACACTTGTGAGGTCACTAGTAGCTTCAGGAATACACTTGTGAGGTCACTAGTAGCTTCAGGAATACACTTGTGAGGTCACTAGTAACTTCAGGAATACACTTGTGAGGTCACTAGTAGCTTCAGGAATACACTTGTGAGGTCACTAGTAGCTTCAGGAATACACTTGTGAGGTCACTAGTAGCTTCAGGAATACACTTGTGAGGTCACTAGTAGCTTCAGGAATACACTTGTCAGTAGCTTAGGAATACACTTGTGAGGTCACTAGTAGCTTCAGGAATACACTTGTGAGGTCACTAGTAGCTTCAGGAATACACTTGTTGAGGTCACTAGTAGCTTCAGGTACACTTGTGAGGTCACTAGTAGCTTCAGGAATACACTTGTGAGGTCACTAGTAGCTTCAGGAATACACTTGTGAGGTCACTAGTAGCTTCAGGAATACACTTGTGAGGTCACTAGTAGCTTCAGGAATACACTTGTGAGGTCACTAGTAGCTTCAGGAATACACTTGTGAGGTCACTAGTAGCTTCAGGAATACACTTGTGAGGTCACTAGTAGCTTCAGGAATACACTTGTGAGGTCACTAGTAGCTTCAGGAATACACTTGTGAGGTCACTAGTAGCTTCAGGAATACACTTGTGAGGTCACTAGTAGCTTCAGGAATACACTTGTGAGGTCACTAGTAGCTTCAGGAATACACTTGTCAGGAATACACTTGTAGGTCACTAGTAGCTTCAGTCACTTAGGTACACTTGTGAGGTCACTAGTAGCTTCAGGAATACACTTGTGAGGTCACTAGTAGCTTCAGGAATACACTTGTGAGGTCACTAGTAGCTTCAGGAATACACTTGTGAGGGTCACTAGTAGCTTCAGGAATACACTAGTAGGTCACTAGTAGCTTCAGGAATACACTTGTGAGGTCACTAGTAGCTTCAGGAATACACTTGTGAGGTCACTAGTAGCTTCAGGAATACACTTGTGAGGTCACTAGTAGCTTCAGGAATACACTTGTGAGGTCACTAGTAGCTTCAGGAATACACTTGTGAGGTCACACTTCAGGAATACACTTGTGAGGTCACTAGTACACTTTCAGGAATACACTTGTGAGGTCACTAGTAGCTTCAGGAATACACTTGTGAGGTCACTAGTAGCTTCAGGAATACACTTGTGAGGTCACTAGTAGCTTCAGGAATACACTTGTGAGGTCACTTCAGGAATAGTAGAATACACTTCAGGAATACACTTGTGAGGTCACTAGTAGCTTCAGGAATACACTTGTGAGGTCACTAGTAGCTTCAGGAATACACTTGTGAGGTCACTAGTAGCTTCAGGAATACACTTGTGAGGTCACTAGTAGCTTCAGGAATACACTTGTGAGGTTGTGCTTCAGGTCACTTGTGAGGTCAGTAGCTTCAGGAATACACTTGTGAGGTCACTAGTAGCTTCAGGAATACACTTGTGAGGTCACTAGTAGCTTCAGGAATACACTTGTGAGGTCACTAGTAGCTTCAGGAATACACTTGTGAGGTCACTAGTAGCTTCAGGAATACACTTGTGAGGTCACTAGTAGCTTCAGGAATACACTTGTGAGGTCGAGCCGCTCTGGGATGCAAAGGTTGCAGAAGGTATGTGACCTCGTGATCAGTAACGGAAAAAGAATGGGTGAATACCACCAGTAGACACACTCGGAAGGTCACACTGCAGGGATCAAAAATTCCTGCGGCCATAGACCAGAAGTAAGGGAACTGATAGATCAGCATTCGAGACCCAGAAGAATCATCATTCTACATAGATGGATCCTTGAAGCTCGAATCAAGGTCAGCATGGGCATACACAGCGTAAAGAATGGGGCGGGAAACAATACATCCAGGACAGCTGCGCTTAACCTGACAACCCTTTCAAAACATGAGAATGGAAATAGCCGCTGCTTCTAGAGCTTTACGTGGGTATCCGGAGCAAAACCAACACACAGGCCAGTAATTGTCCCTCAGACTCAATGAATATGCTTCAGAAGATAGCAACAGGACAGTATGCGTTCTGAATGGATAGAAAGCATTCGAAATCGCCACTTAACCTCCGTAAATGGATATCCCCCTGGGTCATGCGGGCGTAAAGGAAATGAGCTAGCGGACCAGCTGGAAAGCACCTGCCACAATGATTGAGGGAAAGTATGGACCTAGCAGATATTGTCAAGCTGTACGAACGGGCTAGTTTGGGG